CCTTTCCATGGACTTCTTGAGGATCCTTGGGTCCTGTTGTCTAGCTTTCTCCAGAGCAAGCCTTTCGAGAGAGATCAAAGCAGAGGCTGCATGTCTCTTATGATCTAACCTTGTTGGAAATCACACCTTGCCATTTTTGCAGTATTCCATTGGCCAACCCCATTCATTGTGGGAGCTCACTACACAAGGTCTGAATCCCAGGAGGCTGTATCGTGGAAGGATGTGCTAAAGGCTGGCTACCAGAGGTGCTGTTTAGAATGGCTAAGAGAGCCAACTAAGAGTGATTTCTTAAATTGCTGAATAGTGTTGAGAGCAGCCTAGTGATAAAGAAAGCCATACTGCATTTGTTTTTGCAACACGTAGAACACTTATAATACTCCCTCCCCACGTGTCACAGGAGCAAGATCAGAGAAAACAGATGTTTGATCTATGTGTTTGGGAGTCACAAGGTTATTACAAATGAAGTCATGAATGAGTTAAATAGAAATGTATCTTAATACAGTTCTGTTTGTGTTTAGTGTCTTTTACAGAATTTTGGAGAGTATTTTGCTCTTTGCTACATGTGGAGACATAATTTTTTTACAGACAGTGATACAAGTGACTTTCATGTTGATTCAGAAAGTTGTAACATAATTTTATTGAATCTTTGCTTTGTGCCATGCGACCTGCCATGCAATTTTGACATAGATGATCTCATTTCATGGCACAGTACCCTAGGTGATTATGACCCCTGTTTTGGAAAGAAGGAAATTTGGGCTTAGAGTCAAGGATAGCACAGCTACTAGTTGGTAGGTGGTGATGGTGATGGTGATGGTGGTATGCCCTGGAGTGGATTCCAACTTATAGTGACCCTATATAGGGTTTCCAGGACTGTAAATCTTTACAGGAGCAGAAAGTCTCACCTTTCTCCCAAGGAGTGCCTGGTGGACTCTAACACATAGCCCACTCTGCTTCCAGGGCTCTCGATGGTGGCAGGAGCTAGTCCCAAACTCAGGCTTTCTGATATCAGAGCTGAGCTTCTGACCACAGTGTGAATGCATGTGGAAATGTTGACCTGAAAAGACTAAAGAAGGAGGCTTCAAAATGGAACATTTTGAATGTTGTACTTTTTTTAAAAATTTTTACAATTTTAACAATCATAAAAATAGGGTAGTTAAACTACCTGAAATTTTCTCCCTTACATTTTGTTGTTTTCCAAATATCCTTTAAGCAGATTTTACTTAGAGTCAGAAAAAATTTTTTATTTTACAGAAGCATTTTTTTTCTCCCCTGAAAGTTGGCACTCACTCAGGTTTGCAAACTGAAAACTAAGTTTATATGTAATGGAGTGGCACAGTGGTTAAGGCTCACTTACAAACCGTAAGGTTGGAGGTTTGAACTCACCAGTCTTTCCACAGGAGAAAGATGTGACAGTGTGCTTCCATAAAAATGTGTGGTCTTGGAAACCCGTAGGACATTTGGGATTTGCTTTATATGGTTAAATTTTTACAAGGTGTTTTTGAAAAATGTGATTTCATTGCATTTGAGGCAGGATCAACTATGGAAAGTGAGTATATACTCTCTATTTGTCCTCTGTTCATTCAGCTTGTTCTATATGAATGCTTAGTGAACAAATTAACAAACTACCAGAAGGCCAATTGATAGGACCTAGGATAGGTAAAATTAGTTTCTTTGTTTCAGAAGAATTTCAAAAGAGTTGGGAGAAAAGAAAAGCATGACAGTTTCTGCTTCCAAAAGTTCACAGCCCTGAAAACCCATTGAAGTCGTTGTTTTGTATCAAATAAGAATCATCATCTACAATTTGTCATTTATTATACATAAGGCCTTTCCAAGATTGTTCTATAAATGATCACACATCTTATTTCACAGTGTTGATAAAGGAATTAGCATCCTATGCTAGGTCTGTGGTTTATTCTGGAGTCCTGGTATGATGCTGTAGGATCAGCACTGGACCACAAGTTCAGCAATTCAAACCCACTAGCTGATTCTTGGAAACCCTATACAGGATCCCTATGAGTCCGAACCAACTTCATAGCACTTAACAACAACAATGGTTTATTCCAATGAATACCCCATGTCTCTAAGCAGGAGTTGTTGTGAAAGGGAATACTTGTTTGATAGCAATAAAAATTAAAATCATAATGAAAAACTCAAAGGAGAAATTCACCAGCATTCTTCACTTCCTGATTGTCTGTCTGTTGTCATATATATGACATGACCCGTGAACTTCAGTGTACCAGTGAGTTCTCAATCCTTTTACTCAGCCTTTCAGTATCATTTGTTGTTGTTAAGTGTTTATTTTTGGATACGTTGTGAGTACTTCTTGAAATGCATTCTTCATGTGCATTTTAGTCTATGATACTTATCTGATTATCTTTTCTTTCCTCCTAGTACTTCTCTGTCTTATTGTCTGACTTATCTTCTTGCAGTCTCTAAATTTTTAAGTGCTTCAGGACTCAGTTCTTGGGTCTTTTTCTCTATTTACATTATTTTCTGGGCCATCTTGCCTAGTTCCCGTAGCTTTAAATGCCATCTGTGTGCTTAGTCTTCTAAATACAGATCTTTATTTAGCCCCTTCTCTGCTGATGGCGGTTCAAACCCACCAGCTGCTCCTTGGAAACCCAATAAAGGGTCGCTGTGAGTCAGAACCAACTCAGCTACACTTAATAACAACAGGATGCTCTTTTAGAATGTTAATTATAGTAAGTCATTATCTTGCGCAAGATCCTCCAATAGCTTCCATCATATTTGGAATAAGATCCAAATGTCAAACCCTGGTTTACAAACTGCATCATCTGGCCTTTCCCTCTCACTAGCCTCATCACTTATTACCTAGCTTATTGTACTCCAGCCAGATTGACCTCCTTGACCTCCTTCTCAGAATACACTCAGCTCCCTTCTGGCCTTTTGGACTTAACTGTTTCCTCTACCAGAAATGCTCCCCAGAGCTTCACGTAGTTTGCTCTTTCACTGTATTTACATCTTTGCTGAGATGTCACTGTTTCTTCCATAATACTTACTGCCATCAGTCATCCTGCTAGATATCTGCGTGTTATTTGTTTATCATCTTACCTCTCTACAGAAACAGAAACTTCATAAGGGCGGAGATTTGTTCTGTCGTAATCTTCAGTGGCTAGAATAATATCCAAAACCAGTGGCCCTTGAGTTGACTTGACTCATGGCAACCCCATGTGTGTCAGCTACAACTGTGCTTCAAAGGGTTTTTAATGGCTGATTTTTTAGGAGGAGATCCTCAAGCTTTGGGAAACATCTTTGAGTGGACTCAAAGTTCTAGTCTTTTGGTAAGCAGCCACATGTGTTAACCATTGCTTCACCCAGGGACATTGCCTTGAATATCTGACACAATAGATTCTGACAAAGATTTATTATATGCATGAACCTACTGTTTTACTGAAATCAGCTGATTTATTGACAAATTAAATATCGTTTTCTCATGTTAAGTTTTCTATAACCTTTCTGGAGTATTTCTAGCATGTTTTCTCATTACCCTTCTATTGGTTGCCACATCCTGTTGGTTCTTCCATTGTATGTTGACTCCAATCCAAGTCGCCTTCTCCATTGCCTTTTCTACAGGGTTCAGACCTTGAACTCCCTGTTTTGCTTTTGTCTTATTCATTCTATCTGCTACACTATCACCAGATTGAATTCTTACAGATTATTTATCTTTGTAGCTGTTGCAGCATTTAGCACTTTTTAAAAAAAAACTTATTGTGAATTGAGTGAAGGTCTACAGACAAAACAAGACCATCAGCTGTACATTCAACAAATCATACGTTTTGTTTTATCTCAATAATTACATTTCCTTCCATGCAACTACAGCTATCCTACTTCCTCTCTGTGGTTCCCTATTTACATCTTATATTTCACAAATGAACAAAGCAAAAATACTTGATGCACACGTTCAAAACAAAACAGAACAAAATATATTCATTTGAATGTTCAAAAGGCACTTTCTATAAGCCAGCCTCCTGCTTGCAGGCAACACAGCCTTACTCAGTCCGTGGGCCTAGAGCCCGAAGCTGCTCTGTGTCTCCAGGCCACTGCCTCTGCCACTCTCTCTGCTGTCACTGCTTTTTCTAAGTAGGGATCTCACGTTTCACTCAGGTTCTTCCTTCTTGATGGTCCTGGGATCATTTTTTCCCCTGAAATAAAAGATTAACCACTCCCCACTTTTAGTTACATATATTCTGTAATTCCACTTTAGGCAGTCATAATTAATCCTGCTAACAGTTACTCACAATTGAATCATAAAATCCTATCACCATCATCCCCCATCCCTTTCACCAGGTACATCTGGAAAAGAGGAACATTATTCAATGGGGATTCTTCCTTATCCCCCTCATTCTGAAACTAAGCACACCCATGAAAGCTTATAAGCCAACCACTTGTAGCGTCTCCTTTATAGCGCCCCCTCTTTTTAAAAGCTAATGTCTAAACTTTCCACCCCTGTCAACCCAGCATCCTGAGGAGACAAGCCTGTTCCTTGATCTGAACACTCACCCATTCTGGTTCATGTAGCACTTTTTTAGCTTTTGTTGTTGTGGTTTAGATTAAATGTTACAGAGCAGATTGGTTTCCATTCAACAGTTCATACACGTTTGGCTTTGTGGCATTGATTGCAACCCCCATAGTGTAGCAGCGCTCTTCCCGCACTTTATTTTTATTTTTTTAATAGCAGATGCTTAGTGGATGTTGAATGAATAGTTCTGTGTTTCTGGAAAGTAGGGCTAGAGGGTCATGTGATTAATGGCTGAATTCTTTGAAAATGATTTGTGCTCAAATCAGCCCCCATTCTTCCTGTTGTAGAAGAACTGTAGTAATTCTTTGCTTTGTGTTGTTTTCTGTGAACTGTTTCAGTGACTAGAATCACATGATCTACTATTTGAGTATTTCACACTAGAGTTTTGTTTTTTTTCTGTAATAGAATGAAACTAGTGTCTGTGTTTCTCTATTAAAACAGTCCTTCCTTTTCTCTTAAGATAAACTGCAGTCAATATTGTTTTGCTGAGGAATTTTGGGAAAGACAGCTGAAGTTTCCATTCCATGGATCCCTTGGGTGCACCTTCCCAGTTTGTGGATGTGGACACACTACCAAGTTGGAGTGACTCGTGTGAAGATGGAGTGAATTCTGACACTGCAGCTGAAAAGTTACAGGAAGACACTATTCGATCACCTTTTCCTTATAATAAGGACATCAATGGGAAAGTGGTTATTTGGTAATTATCTGGTTAAATCCTGGCACAATGTGATAACATTTTTGTGTAATTTCTAATAAAATTTTTTTCTTATAATCCCCAGAGTTGTTAAAATACTGCTTTGTAGCTGTTTTTAAAGCTTTCCTGAGGTTTAATTAACATGCAGTTAACTGCATATTAAAATCCACAATTTGATAAATATATGTGTGTGTATATATATCCTCAGCCCGGCTGTTAAGTGCCATTGAGTCAATTCCAACTCATAGAAACCTTTATCTAGGGTTTCTAAGAAGTGGCTGGTAAGTTTGAACTGCCAACCTTGTGGTCCAGTGCATTATCCCACTGCATCACACCAGGATTCCACCACTAATCTGTCTCTTTCCATATGTACGTTTCCTATCAATGTGGTGGTGGTGATGGTGGTTGTATGCCATGGAGTCAGTTTTGACTCATAGCAACTCTGTATCAAGTTTCTGATGCTAAATATTTACACGAGCAGAAAGCCACATCTTTCTCCCTCAGATACAAACTGCTAACCTTGCAGTTTGCAACTCAACTCATAACTCACAACACTACTATAATTCCTTTCCTATAAATGTGCTCATATGCTAATGTGGTTTTGTATCTATTTTTATCTAGCATAGTGTTTTCAAGAGTCGTACTGTAGCATGGATTAGTGCTTCACTCTTTTTATGGTTAAATAGTATTCCACTGTATGATTATATCACACTTTCTTTCTCAGCTTATCATTCGATGAGTGTTTGGGTTGTTTCTACTTTTAAATTTTTATGAATAATGCTGCTATGCATAAACTCTGCTTAAAGCAACTACTTTCAGCTCTCTACATAGGCATTCTGTAATAATGAGATACAAATAAGTAAGATGCGAAAGAAAAATGACAATTTTGTGAGCTTTGTTTTCATGGCAGTTGCATCTGTCTAAGACACCAGATAAATCTTTCTGAGTCAGGACTTTCTTTACTACTATTTACTAGATTGTGAACTAGCAAAAACAAGGTTGTGAAAGGCATGTAGACAGGATATTGTGGAAAAGTAGAAACTCTTTTGTCACCCTTCTCTCCCCACACCTGTTCTTTATTTATTGATTGTGTGTTTCATCAGGAAAGGAGATGTGGCAATACTAAACTGTACAGCTATTGTGAATACCAGCAATGAGACTCTCACGGATAAGAATCCTGTGTCAGAAAGTATCTTCATGCTTGCAGGGCCTGATTTGAAGGAGGACCTCCAGAAACTTAAAGGTAAGTTAGTCTTCGTAGGCATGTTACTTACCTCTTCTGTTGTTAGGTGCCATCCCATCAGTTCTGACTTCTGATGATCCTGTGTGCAACATAACAACACACTGACAGGTCCTATACTGTCCTCAAATTGTTGTTACTGTTTGAGCCCATTGTTGTAGCCAGTGTAAGTCTATTTTGTTGAGAATCATCCTCTCTTTCTCTGACTCTCTTAGGAAATAGTTTTTATTGCTTAGAAAATGTTTATTTTGATGTTCTCTATCTTGAGGAAGCATATTTTGAGTTTAAAGAAAAGTGGTGAAGATGATGCCTATTATTCTGTTTAAAGAAAAACAGAATTTGAAAACCCCACAGTATGTTAAAAGCTGAGCTCAAAGAATTTTCTGTCAGTTCATTTTAAATGTACTGAAATTTAAAGTTGCAGCCATTGTGGCCAGTTGGATCTTTGGCAGCATATTTCTGGCTATAGACATTTTTGCACTGATAAATCTTGTAAAGCAACTATCTTCCTTTGTCTTCCTCTAAATTGAAAAACTTTTATCATAGTATGTTATTGATGTTGTTAAGTGTTGTTGAGTCAGTTCTGACTAATAGCTACCCTGTATAGGGTTTCCACAGAGTGGCTGGTGGGTTTGAACCAATATTGATAGAGGATGTTTTATACACTTTTGGACATAAACGGTTGCATTTCTGAAATTAAAATAAAAATGCCTTATTGATAGAAGTAAAGTATATCATAGTAAGAGCAAATATATTCTCAGTTATGAACTTGACAGTGTTTTTCTCAGAACGGTCTCTGGGAAGATCCCTTTGAAAATGGAAATAGGTTGGTTCAGAATCCTATTACCACTTATTTGCATTCATTTTTTATTAATCACCAATTCAGCAACACTTTATTATATGGTTGTTTGAGCCCAAGTGGATGATATTATGAAATTCATTCTTTCCATCTTATAAAAAAGTATACAAGAAATAGGTTTCTTAAAATGTGAACACAAATCCTTGCTTTCCTAGACCCTTTTCCATTTTCTAATCTAATAAAGATATTAAAATTTGAACAGGAATACTTACTGTGCTGTCTATATGAAAGAAAGAATAGGGATTTAAAAAAAAAAAAACTTCATTAACTGAACTTTGACTGTGAGAGCAGGAAAAATGACCAGTGCTACCAAGTTAACTCTACCACTCGTCTGTTAGTTTGTGGTACTGTGGTGACTTGCATGTTGCTGTGATTCTGGAAGCTGTGTCATGGGTATTTTAAATGCCAGCAGGGTCACCTACGGTGGAAAGGTAGGTGAGCTTTCAGAGAAAGATAAGCTAAGAAAAAGGAGAGATGGACTACTTACAAATACTGAGTCAATGAAAATCTTATAAATAGCAGTAGAACACTGTTAGACCAGAATTGTGACTATTGAAACATGATGAAGAGCACCCAAATACTGTCAGATACAGTGCTGGAAGATGAGCCCCTCAGGTTGGAAGGCATTCAGAATATGACTGGGGAAGAGGTACCTCAAGTAGAGTTAACCATGATGATGTGAATGTAGTAAGGTCCTTGGGACCTTCATTTGCTGATGGGGCACAACTCAAAATTAAGAGAAACAGCCGTAAACAGCTATTATAATTGGAACATGGAATGTACGAAGCATGAATCTAGGAAAATTGGAAGTTGTCAAAATGAAATGAAACACATAAACATCAATATACTGGGCATTGGTGAGCTGAAATGGACTGGTATTAGTCATTTGGGATCTGATAATCACATGGTTTACTATGCTGGAATGGTAAATTGAAGAGGAATGCCATCACATTCATCCATAAAAAGCAAATTTCAAGATCCGTCTTGAAGTACAACGCTGTCTGTGATACAATAATATCCATACATCTACATGGAAGACCATTTAATACCACTATTATTCAAATTTATACACCAGTCACTAAAGCCAGAGATAATGAAATTGAAAAATTCTGTCAACTTCTTCAGTCTGAAATTGGTGAAATATGCAATCAAGATGTATTGATAATTACTGGCAATTGGAATGCAAAGGTTGGAAACAAAGAAGAAGGATTAGTCGTTGGAAAATATAGCCTTGATGATAGAAACTATTCTGGAGATTGCATGATAGAAGTTTGCAAGACCAATGACTTCTTCATTGCAAATACCTTTTTTAAACAACAAACGACCATACACATGGACCTCACCAGACAGAATACACAGAAATCAAATTGAATACATCTATGGAAAGAGACAGTGAAAAGGTTCCATATCATCAGCCAAAACAAGGCCAGGAACAGACTGTGGAACAGGTCATCAATTGCTTATATGCAAGTTCAGGCTGAGGATGAACAAAATTGAAACAAGTCCATGAGAGCCATAATATGACCTTGAGTATATCCCACCTGAATTTAGAGATCATCTGAAGAACAGATTTGATGCAGTAGACACTAAAGGGCAAAGACCAGAAGAGTTGTGGGACGACATCAAGAACATCATGCAGAAAGAAAGCAAAAGGTCATTAAAACAAGAAAGAAGGAAAAGACCAAAATGGATGTCAGAGGAGACTGAAACTTGCTCTCCAGCATAGAGATGCTAAGGCGAATGGAAGAAATGAGAAGGCAAAAGAGCTGAACAGAATCTTTCAAAGCTCAGCTCGAGAAGACAGATTCAGATATTATAATGAAACGTGCACAGACCTGGAGTTAGCAAACTAAAAAGGAAGAATGTGCTCAGCATTTCTCAGGTTGAGGTAACTAAAGAAAAAATTCAAGCCTGAACATTCAATATTGAAGGATCCTATGGACAAAATATTGAATGATACTGAAAGCATCAAAAGAAGATGGAAAAGATAAACAGAGTCACTATACCAAAAGGAATGGTCGATGCTCAACCCTTTCAAGAGGTAACATATGTTCAAAAGCTGATGATACTGAAGGAAGAAGTCCAAAGTGCATTGAAAGCATTGGCAAAGAACAAGGCAGTGGGAATTGATGGAATACAAATTGAAGTCTTTCAACAAACTGATGCAGCACTGGAGACACTCAACAACGCCAAGAAATTTGGAAGATAACTACTTGGCCAACTGATTGGAAGAGATCCATATTTGTGTTTATTCCAAAGAGGTGAGCCAACCGAATGCAGAAATCACCAGATGATATCTTTGCTATCCAATGCAAGTAAAACCTTGCTAAAGATAATATAAAAATGGCTGCAACCATATATTGACAAAGAACTTGCAGAAGCTCAAGCTGGATCCAGAAGAGAACATGGAACGAGGGATATCATTGCTAACGTCAGGTGAATCTTGGCCAAAAGCAGAGAATACCAGAAAGATGCTTACTTGTGCATTCATTACTGAATACACAAAGGCTTTCGATTATATTGATCATGACAAAGTATGGAAAGCATTGAGGAGAGTGAATGTTCCAGAATTGTGCTCATGAGGAAGCTGTCCACAGACCGAGAGGTAGTTGTCTGAACAGAACAAGCGGGCACTGAATGGTTTATAATTAGGAAAGGTGTGCGCCACTGTTTCATTCTTTCACCATACTTATTCAGTCTGTATGCTGAGAAAATAATTGGAGAAGTTGGATTATATGAAGAAAAACATGGTATCTGGATTAAAGAAAGACTTACTAACAACCTGTGATATGCAGTTGATACAACCTTACTTGCTGAAAGCCAAGAGGACTTAAAAGACCTCAGCTTTCAGTTTGGGGTTGCACCTCAATTTAAAGAAAACAAAAATCCTCACCTCTGGACCAGTAAACAGCATCCATATAAATGAAGAAGAGACTGAAGTTGTCAAAGACTTCATTTTGCTCAGATCAACCATTAACATTCATGGAAGAAGCAGGGAAGAAATAAAATGATGTATTGCATTAGGCAAATCTGCTGATCAGGACATCATTAAAGTGTTCAAAAGCAAAGATTTTAGTTTGAGAACTAAAGTGCAACTGTCCCAAAGCATGGTATTTTCAATAACCTCATATGCATGTGTAAATTGGACAGTGAGTAAGGAAGACCATGGAAGAATTGATGCATTTCAGTTACAGTGTTGGAGGAGAATATTAAAAATACTATGTACTGCCAAAAGAACAAATCTGTGTTGGAAGAAGTACAGGCAGAATGCTCCTTGGAAGCCAGGATAACCAGACTTCAGCTCTCTTACTTTGGACATATTATTAGGATGGACCAGTCTTTGGAGAAGGATTATCACATTTGGTAAAGTGGCATGTCGGAGAAAAAGAGGAAGACCCCCAATTACAGTGTCGGCAGCAGTGGCTCAGATTTCACAATGCTTGTGAGGTTGGCATGGGGCCAGGCAGTATTTAATTCTGTTGTGCATAGGGTCGAAGTGAGTTGGTGCGACTCGGTGGCACTTAACAACAGCAACCATCAAGGTAATTGACTCATGGTGACCCCGTGTGTGTCACAGTAGAACTGTGTGCGGTATAGTTTTCTGTGACTGATTTTTTTTTTTTTTTTAAGTTAGATTGCCAGACTCTTCTTGTGTACCTCTTCAGTGGTACCTCTGGTTAGATTCAAACCCCAACCTTTTAATTAACAGCCGAGCGTATTAACATTTGTACCACCCAGAGACTCCAGAGGAAAAACAAATGCCCTCAAATTCAGCTACAAAGCAAGATACTGTAAAGAACATGCAGAAATTAAAAAGGTTATTAGAGATAGTACTGAGAAACTTTATGACAAAAGTAGCAGAAATGCTAATCTGGGAAAAAGTTGTAATGGCTTTGTGTTTGTTTACTTGTATTTTCACATACAAAAAACCCTGATGGCACAACTGCTGGTCTGAGAGGTCCGTAGTTCAGACCCACCAGCCAGACAATCTGTCCTGTAAAGATTCCAGTCTAGAAAACCCTATGAACCTGCTCTACTTCATTCAGTAGGGTCAGTATGAATCAGAATTGACTTTACAACACAACATTTTCACATACTTTACTATGCCTCTTAGTATTTTAAAATATCATAAATTTGAATGTTTAATGCAAGAGGAGCTTTGGCATCGTAGTGGCTAAGCATTCAGCTATTAACCCCAAGGGTTTAAACCTATCAGCTGCCCCATGGAAGAAAGATGAGGTAGTCTGCTTCTGTAAAGATTATGGAGCAGTTCTGTTTCCTCCTATAGGAGCTCTGTGAGTCAGAATCAACTCAACAACAGGTATGTTTTTGGGTTTTGGTACAAATAAAGCCTCAGTAGTTAACAGCATATGTTAGAAATTCCAACATGGGGATCATATTATGAATCTCTTACTGTATGACTTAATGCCAACTACTTTATCTCTGCCAAGTCCTCATTTCCAAGATGATGATGATATTAATAGTACCTACTCCAGTTACTAAGGAACTCTGGTAACGTAGTGGCTACAAATTGGGCTGCAAATCTCACAGTCAGCAGTTCGAAACTATCAGCTGTTCCACAGGAGAAAGATGAGGAGTTCTGCTCCCATAAAGATTTACAGCCTCAGAAACCCTGTGCAGGGTCACTATGAATCGAAACCCACTCCACAGCACATAACAACAACAGCAACTCCAGTTACTTGGGTCCTGGTGTGGTGCTGTAGGATAAGCACATGGTTTTAGACTTTGTGAATCATGGCAAACTATGGATTGTTTGTGAAGAATGGGAATTCCAGAGCATTTCATTGTGCTTATGCAGAACCTGTACATAGACCAAGGGGCAATCCTTAGAACAGAACAAGGGGATGCTGACTGGTTTAAAACCAGCCCACCGTACACTGGACTGCTGACCACAGTTGGTCAGCAGTTCAAGCCACTAGTTGCTCCTTGGAAACCATATACAGGGTCGCTGTGTGTTGGAACCAACTGGACAGCACACAGCAACAGCAGTGTTGTATTGTTTTATCTAGCAGCTCCATGCCTTAATGTATGCTTCCATTGTGCCCAGGTTGCCGGACAGGTGAAGCAAAATTGACCAAAGGATTTAATCTAGCTGCCCGGTTCATTATTCACACAGTAGGACCGAAGTACAAGAGCCGCTATCGAACTGCAGCTGAGAGTTCCCTGTACAGCTGCTACCGAAATGTACTCCAGCTGGCGAAGTAAGACTTGACCATTTCCTGGACACATCCAACACAGTGAAAGGCTCTGGCTTTAAAGATGAAACCTCACTATGGAAATTGAAGTTTTAGAGACTTAGATAATGTTGGGGGCCCTGTAGGTAAAATTATGTTTTCAAACAACTGTAAATGGAATGGATCTGGGTGGCTTAACAACTTAACCTATTTCCATTTTGCAAAGTCTTTACTTGGATTATATACTCATGTCCCCCAAATGGTATAATTAAATAATAATACATTAATATAATTACTAAATTGTATAGTTAGGCTAACTTTTCTAGAAGATTTGTTGAAGGTAGTAGAGAAGGAGAGGTTGCGCTGCATTTTGAAATTAGTTGTTATTATGTATGTAGTGTTTATATATTATGAATGTTTTTAATGCAATATTTGTGTTTTCTCTTTGCAGAGAACAGTCAATGTCGTCTGTTGGATTCTGTGTCATAAATTCTGTAAAGCGAGGTTATCCTTTAGAGGATGCAACACACATAGCACTTCGTGAGTAATATTGGAGATGCCGTGCATACATAAATTGAACCTTAAAATTCTATTTATCACAGCTAGTTGCATAGTTAGGAGACCCCGGATAGTGTAAATAGTCAAGTGCTCTGCTAGTAGTGGAATGGTTGACAGTTTGAACCTACCCAGAGCTACCTCAGAAACCAGGCCGGGTAATCTACTTCCAAAAGGTTACAACCTTGAAAACCCGAAGATCGGTTCTACTCTACACACATGGAGTCATGAGGAGTCAGAATCGACTTGGCGACAAGTAACAATAAAGTTAAATTAGGTTCAGCTCATTGAAAACTCTATCAGGATTCAGATTCATCTTAACAGACTAAATTGATAAAGGCAAAACAACTTCATAATAATCATATTTATATAGCACTTTGCAGCTTAAACAGCAGCTTTTGCATGTGGAAATTCTATGTTAAAACCCTATATTTAGGTTAAAACAAGTCCATAATCTGACCACATAATATGCAAGTTTATACCATATCTGGAGTTTTGTATCTAATTCTGGATGTCATAGGTCATGAGACATTGACAAACTAGAGGGCAAACCATTTGGAACATTAGTGCTGTTTCTCCTGAAGAAAAGCATGCTTTTAGCATATATGATGCCTATCTTCAAATATCGGGAGTCGCATTGTGCATTTATTCTGTGCTGTTCTTTTAGAGCACCAGTTCCAAACTACATTGAGTATCTGATGAAAGAAAATCTACAGACCATTTCCCCAAAAGAATACACCTGCATATGGAATGTGCAAGTTATGTCAAGAAATTAACCGATCCTCGTAAGGACTGTGGATAAGAACTCCAGCCTTAGAAGGCAGGTCTAAGATCAAGCTTCATAGGGGGAGTTTGGTCTTGTTTGAGATAGGACTCTCTCTAACACAAAGGTTTTTTGTTTGTTTTGGGGTTTTTTTGTAAACTTCTCATTGCTGACAGCATTCACACAGAGGCAAAATGACCAACAGTTGCAGATATTATAGAAAACATTATTTAGAGAAGCCATACTAGATGACCTTTAAGACCCATATCTATCTCTAGAATTTAAAGGTGAGAATCTGAAAATCTTGTTTCAACCCCAAATTATAAATTTAATGTAAAGATTGATTATTGAACAGCATAGAATTTAGAGTGAGAATGGCTCCATCTCATATAACTGTTTTTTAAACTACAACCCTTTCTGCTCAGGGACAAATTGGTGTATTGCTTTTATTGTTATAGGTTTCTTGTACTTCTATAGACTGAGCATTTTAGGGAAAAGAAACTTGTCTTTTCATCTTTGTATTTCCAGTGATTCCATATGTTAAGAATGTTTGACATAAGAAATAGTTTAGCACTTAATTTTCTTAACAGTCTGTGTTTTAGGTGTCAGGGTGTCCATTTGACATGGGCTTAATGGTTTCTTTGGTTCTAAGCGGTATGCCGATTTGAAGTAAATATCTAAGCCTTCTGACTCCCATGCCTAGTATCTATCTGTTACACTAGATCATTCTTAATATACAACTGCTTCAGTGGTATAATGCTATGTTATAAAACAAAAGCCACACCACTACCATTGAGTTGATTGCACCTCGTATCTGCCCTATAGGACAGACTAGAAATATCCCCCACAGGGCATTTTAGGCATTGCCGACCTTTTGGTGGTGGTTGTTAAGTGCCATCAAGTCAGTTCCAACCCATAGCGATCCTGTATAGGATGTCCAAGGAGTGTCTGGTGAGTTTGAACCACCAACCTTGTGGTTCCAGCGCATTAACCCACAGCGCCATACTAGGACTCTGAACTTTGAGTTAGTGGCTAAGAGCTTAAACTACTGCACCACCAGGGCCCACATATATTCTCACCAGTGACTTACCAAAGCAGAGTTCCTGCCTTTATATTACTTCTCTTAACAAGATTTCAGCAGACCTTAGCAGTCTAAGTCCTATGGAGTCCTTGCCCCATTATCTCATACCTTAAGTTAAACTGTCTTTCATGTGTCCATTCCTTTATAAAGTGATTATGCATTAGAATTTAAAGAAACGTCATATTGTAGATACAACTCGGGAGTTAAGAAGATTGGGTTTTAGTCCCAGTTCAACTGTAGCTCAACCATGTAATTTGTTATTGTTGTTAAGTGTCACCGAGTCACTTCCAACTCACGGTGACCCTATACAGGGTTTCTGAGGACTGGCTGGTGGGTTTGAACCACTGGCTTTTTGGTCCAGTGCATTATTCTACAGCACTACACAAATGGGAATGCTAATTTAAAACAGTAGATAAAGATCAATTATGGGTATTAGGGACTTTTGTGAAACAATTTCTAGGAATGTACTTAGCCGAGAGGAAGTGTATAGTTCTTAAAATGAGCAAGTTAACTTACCATTTATAAGGCCTACTTAGGTCTGGAGTCCTGGTGTGGCACTGTGGGTTAATGCTCCAGACTGCAAAGCCGTTTGAACTGCAAGGTCAGCGGTTCAAGTTCACCAGCTGCTCCTTGGAAACCCTATACAGGGTCACTATGGGTCAGAATCAACTCGATGGCACTTGACAACAACAACAACCTTAAGTCTAGTAGCACAACTACAGCATCTCATTAAAAAATACTCACATGTACATACATCCCCCTAGACAACTTTCTTTTCTCACACACTCAGGCATTTGGAAAACAAAAGGCTTATATACTTTTGTAGTACATATGGGTCAAGAACAAACAGAATGTTAATATCAAAATCTTTCGTATTAAACTGTTATAGTAACTTATTTCATTGAAACCTAATAGGTTCTTGATAGATGTATCAAGACTGTGTATCTTTTTTTTTTTTCCCCCCTTAGTTTATGTGCACGTATTCTCCAGAAGAAGCCTAAAACAAATCTGCATTAAAATAAATGTATCAGGTCATTTATTCAGTTCACATATGTGTGAGTGACTAGAGTGTTCTAAGCCCTGTGCTGTATATAAGAGGATATAGTGCTAAGGCAAAAAAGATGAAGATGTTTGTTCTCATGAGTTTCCCAGTTGGGAATTTTAATTCCTAAATGGCATTCCCACCAGTGAAAGGTTATTCACTAATTGTAAGAATACTTGGTATTCTCATCCATTGCAGAGAATCATGAGCAGATAAAACTTTGGACTCCTCAGAACAGCAGTTTGAACTGGCAGTACAAAAACTTTATAGTCATGTTGTCATCCTTTTATTCACCTTGTACAAAATTACTTTTCTAAATGAGCTTTACCAAGGAAATTCAATTTAGGTACTATGTGACATTTTACTTTTTTCTTCCACAGGAAATGCCATTATTACATATATACTGGGGAACTGACTCTTAGGTGTGAACATTAAAATTGCTACATTTGGCATCAGAGTAAATGACATGAAAGAAAATCCAATTTTGAAAGCTTACTTTAAAGTAAATATTCTTCCTCAGGATATAGAGAAGAATGAAAAATATATTTATCTAACAGAGGGAGGATTACGAATATTTGTTTAGTCCTTCAGCAAATGAGTCGGTTCTGTTAACCTCTTGGGATACAGTGGCGAACAAGGCCAGCAGTATGTAGCTAACCAGAGCCATGAAATGTCGACTCAGTTACTAGTTTCTTTTAAGTGATTATTTGACATGTTCCTCGTCTTGCGGTTTGTTGTTAAGTGCTGTTGAGTTGGCATTTAACCTGTATAAGGTTTCCAGTGAGCGGCTGGTGTGTTTGAACCACCAGCCTTGCTGTTAGTAGTCCAGTGCTTATCCTACAGGACTCTGTGAGTTAGGCTCTGGTAGTGCTAGTGTAAATATGCTTAACCTTCAAAAAACTCATAGTCTGCCTGTAAAATATTGTGGAAAGTTTATAACGGGTATTCAAAAGTCTATAGGGGCACAAGGAAGGGTGCAGTTCACATAAGCAGATAGCTTTTGACTGAGTCTTAACAATGAGTAGGAATTCACTAAGACAAAAGAATGGGGTCGTGAAGACAGGGGAGTGAGTGATATTCCAGTCAAAGGTAACCATGTAAGCAGAGGGTCAACATAAAATTTAATGGCATCTTCTGAGTACCATCAAGATGCTAACTTGATTAAAACATAAGGTGTGAGGAAGAATGAGTAGAAATAGGACTAAGGAGTGGGTATAGGATCCTTAGTTGAAGTCAGAGTGTGTAAAGCCATACTAGGGGCTTTGGATCATAACCTGTAAGCAGTGCAGAGTCATCAGAAGTGCTTAATGAAAAGGGTATCCTAAGAAGATAGACAACAATGAATATGTCAACTTGGGAAAAAAAGAAACAGACAGACCTTATTGTCAGCATCTGTGTGAGTGCTGAGAGCCTGAACCAGGGAAATTAGAATAGAAAAGAAATATTGGAAATATCCACAATCAATTTAGCCAGAGATGATAATCAGTTGAAAATGCAGGCTGAAGGAAGTATTGAAGAAAATTCAGGATAATGACTTGGGTGACTCTTTGGATGTTGCTGTGAAACTGAGTTAAAGAATAAGATAAAAGAGCAGGTTTCGGGGAGAGAAGATGGGGCTCAAGTTTGGACCTACTTGGGTCAGGTTGGGATACATTGAGTTTGAGGCCTATCGGCATATACACTTAGTAGGCTTTAGGAAATTCAGGTCTTTTGTTCAGGAAACAGTATAAAGATTTGAGAGCCATTGGCACTTTGTTGTTGTTAAGTGATTTTGAGTTGGATTTGACTCATAAGATTTCCAAGGAACAGCTGCTGAGTTTGAACTACTAGCCTTGTGGTTCAAACCGACCTTGAGGTTGAGTGCTTATCCTATGGCACCACACCAGGTTTGGGGTTGTGTGTAATAAAAGGCTGAATAGGACTTCTGTCACTGTAACTGAATCATTGGGGAAAAAAAATTGTGCTAGATCATTCTGGCCAAAGAGAGAGGCCTGGGAAGTAAGATTAATATGCTAGAGAAGGGAAAACTGGCCAGGTACTGTTTTATATAATATAAATAAATATGTGACAGTAGATAAAATAAAGTTCTTACCATTGTAGGGCTTTCATTTTAGTGTGTGGGATAGCAGGGGGCAAGGAGTACAAACCACAAACCAGAAACTCCTTAGTGTCTGGGACCAGAACTCTGGAGCAAAGCAAATATAAGGGTGGTCTGGCAGGCTTCACTGATGAAGAATCAGTAAAATGAGGGGAACATCCATTACAAAAATAAACTTTGAGGAGTATGATTTCTCTTTACACAGAAATTTTTTCATATTTATTGATTAATCTTTCTGTGATTTTTCTTAGGCACTGTAAGGCGATTTCTAGAAATTCATGGGGAAACCATTGAAAAAGTAGTATTTGCCGTCTCTGAACTTGAAGAGGTATTTTGCTGATTATATTGCATTGTTTAACTCCTATTTTTAGTTATGTTCGTGTTTGCCTTTCTCATTCTCAATTTACTGAATTGCCAGGGAGAAAATCTTAGATTATATATATATATATATCCACTTATGTATGTACATGTAAACATATGAAGAGGATTCTAAAAGTTAGTGGAAAATGGAATGAAAAGATAATGGAATTTTTCCACAAATTTTTTGAAACCCCTCACTTATACACACACATACTTACACCAGGGGGGTTTTATGGAAAAATTATATTTTAATTCCATTATTTCCAAGAACTTTTTTTCACCCTTCGTGTGTGTGTGTGTGTGTGTGTGTGTGTGTGTGTGTGTGTGTAGGCTTACAGTCATTCATTGGGAATGACAGTACAAGGCTAAGTCCAAAAGTATTGTTACACAATCATAGAAACCTTTATTAAGCAAAAATATCCAAATGTGAGGCTGTTACTTCCTAACAGATCCCCCATCCAGTTTTCTGCACTTCTGAAGGTGGTTCCTTATCCAATCGTTTGCCGAAGAGTTCTGCACTTCTTGATTTACACCGTGCCAAACTGCAGTTTAACTTTCTCGAGGATCTCAAATCATGTACCTTTTAAATGTTGAGTTCTGGGAATAAAAATAAGTCTGAAGGGACAAGATCAGGGACATTGGGTAGATTGGGGCAAAGTTTCCCAACAAAGTTCTCTTAGGCTAGTCCTATCTACTCACAAAGAATGAACAGGTGCACTACCATGCTGGGGGGAAATAATTTCTTGGCACAGATTTCCTGACCTTTTCCTCACCAGTGCACTTTTCAGTTTTCTTTAAACCTTTCCTAAAAAGTCCCCATGTTGTCCTGTGTTCTTTAAGAAAATCTATCAAAACACAGTCTCCATAACCTGAGCTGACATCTCAGCTCAAAACTGACTCAGCAGATCCTTTCAGAAGTCACTGTTTTGATTGGGATCTTTTTTTCCCTACCCTAATGAGACTACACTGGTATTACTGAAAGAACTTGTCTGCAGTAATCCCACTGTGATAATTATATGAGTTAGTGCATGTGAAGTATTTATTTAAAGTACATATAACTGCGCAAGTAATTTGAATTTGATGAATTGAGACATATATTTTACTTTCTATCTTCTAGTGTTCTGGCTGATCTATTCATTCTTTCAATGATCTGATGTTAAGCACCTAGAATATATTAGATTTACTATATTAGGTTGCAGTGATACACCAGTGTATCTAGTCATAGTCTTGTCTTCAAGTTGCTTAGAGCCTATTAGTGGAAACGGACAAAATAGACAAATTATGATGAGGGTGATACATGCATTCCTGGAGATCTGGGAAAGATAAACATTAACTCCAACCACTCCTGGTACAAGGAGATGTTCCCTGTAGGAGGTGATCTATAGAAGTTGAGTTCATTTGAAAGGATAAGTAGGATTTGCCATGGGAGTGACAAATAGAGTGGGCATATTGCTGTTGCATTAAATATGAAACTGAAAATGGCAAAGAAAGCTTGTCAGGGGCTTTATCACAAAAAGCCTGTATCACAGACTATAAAACTTAAGCTCTATCCGTTATTCATAGAACAAACATACAAGAGTTTTAAGCAGGCAAATAATGTGACCTCATTTGTGTTTTAGCTGTGTGGCCATGGGTTTGGAAGGAGAAAAATTGGTGGCAAGAGAAGAGATTAGAAGTGGTTGTACTCCAAATGAGGAATTAGCAGATTTGAACTAGGATAGTTGTTGTTGAGTGCAGTCAAGTCAGTTCTGACTCATGACAACCCTGTATAGGGCTTCCAAGGAGTGACTGGTGAGTTTGAACTGCTGACCTTGTGGTTCAAAGCCACCTTGTAGTCCAGTGCTTATTTACCCTGCAGTGCCACACCAGGACTCGTATAGTTGAAAGTTTTAAATATTAACAAAATAAATTTAGATGGAGCTGGTGATTGATAAAATATGTAGGGGAAAAGACAGAGAAAGTTAAGGATAAATCCTAGGTTTCCAACTTGGCCGAGGAACCATGATACCACCAATAACATCACAAGTAGAAAGGGGACAAGGTTTTAGGGAGAGGAGAAGACACGAAGACAAGTTAATTCTGAACACGTTGAATCTTAGGCCAGTGTAGCATAAAGGGCAGATGATTAGCAGGCCCTACCAGTCCGCTATGGGTCGGACCCGACTCGATGGCACTTAACAACAAACAACAACAACCAGTCCGAAGCTGACGAGTAAGGTATAGGGTAGAGATTTGGCTATTGTCATAGAACACCAAGAGCTGTTAAAAATAGTAATAATAGTAAGGAAAAACTAAATCCTGCATGGAATCCTTGTGTTGCACTGTAGGATAAGCACTGGACTGCCAAACACAAGTCTGTGGTTCAAACCCACCAGCTACTCCTAGGAAACCATACTGGGTCACTTAGTTGAAATTGACTTGACGGCACTTAACAATAACAGACCTCCATCCAATGGATCCTGATGGCATTATTGGAGGTTAAGGAGATGGCATCTGAGCTGAATCTTGCCATGTATTATTAACAATAGTAGGATAAAGGTAAGCTATAGAGACAGGCGGCGGGACTTAGGAATTCCTAGCCTTCAGTGACTAGGATGAGAATCATGTTTTACTTGACTGGCTAGCAGTCCCAGATAGCATCTAGCCAGAACTCAGAGAGGTCTTAGTTCTTGATGGAGACTGACTGTAACACTCTTGAAACCACCAAGCACCACTGATGTCTGCTTTTGTATTTCGTTATATTTCACTAAATATCTTGCTTTTCTGACACAGGCTACCTACCAAAGGCTACTACCTCTGTATTTCCCAAGGTCACTGAAGGAGGAGAGTCGGTCGTTGCCGTACCTCCCTGCAGATATTGGAAATGCAGAAGGGGAACCTGTAGTACCTGAACGGCAGATTAGGATAAGTGAAAAACCTGGTGCTCCAGAAGGTGAGTTTTCCTTTCCTCAGTTTCTCTCTTGAGGAAACATAGGAACTGATATTCATTATTCACCAAAAAAATAAGAAATACAGCTTAACCTTTGAGAAATTCTCCATGGATATGATACTAGGATCACTGCAATTTAGAAATTTTAGAGTCCTGTTGCTTTTGTTGGGCAATGTTGGATAATGAATAAAGAAGACCCATAGAACTATGAACTGATGCATTTGAATTTTGGTGTTGGAGAAGAATATTAAAAGTACTATGGACTGCTAAAATAACAAACAAATATGTGTTGGAAGAAGTACAGCCAGAGTGCTCCCTAGAAACCAGGATGACCAGACTTCATCTCTCACACTTTGGACATATTGTCAGGAGGGACCAATCCCTGGAGAAGGACATCATGCTTAGTAAAGCAGCTCTTTTCCCAGTCATGTTTTGAGGGAATTCAAATTTGAAGGGCTTATCTTCTGCCACTGTCTCTGACAATATTTTGGTGCTATTCATAATGACTTCATCTTCCAGCATTATATCTTGACAATGTTTCACTGGTCTTCATAAAGTTTTCAGTGACTAAGCGTTAAGATGTACTCTGCATCTCCTTCTTCCTAGTCTGTCTTCGTCTGGAAGCTCAGCTGAAACCTTTCCACCATGGGTGACCCTGCTGGTATTTAAAATACCGGTGTCACAGCTTCCTGCATCACATCAACAGGCAAGCCACCACAGAACGACAAAATAACAGTTGCATCTTGGAATTCCTGTGGAATCTTGTTTTTCTCCAGTATCTTCAGTGCGGCTTGGACTTCTTCCTTCAGTACCATTAATTCTTGATTATATGCTACCTCATGAAATGCTTAATTTTATTGACTTTTGGGTTTTTTTTCTGATACATTACTCTGCATTCCTTCCATCTTCTTTTGATACTTCTGCATCATACATTATTTAACCATTGTTGTTGTTAAGTGCCATCAAGTCAATTCTGACTCATAGCAATCCTGTATAGAGCCCCTAAAGAGAGGCTGGTGAATTTGAACCACTGACCTTGAAGTTAGCAGTTCAGTGCTTATCCCACAGTGCCACATCAGGACTCCTACTTTATATATGTTGTTGTTGTCAAGTGGTGTTGAATTGGTTCCAACTACTAGCCAGCCTGTATAGGGTTTCCAAGGAGCACCTGATGAGTTTGAACTGCCAATCTTGTAGTTCACCATCCACTGCTGATCTTATAGCATTACAATTGCAACCCACAGCTGGAATGTCTTTTTGTTTTTTTGTGTTTTCAGTCCTTTCAGCTTGAGAAATGCTAAATGTGTTCGTCCCTATTGGTTTTCTAACTCCAGGTCCTTGCACTTTTCATTATAATACTTTACTTGGTCTTCTTGACCTGCCCTCTGAAGTTTTCTATTCAGCTCTTTGACTTCCTCATTTTTTTCCATTCATATTAACATCATTATAGTAGAATCCAAGTTTCAGACTCTTCTGACATCCATTTTGGTCTTTTCTTCCTTCATCTTTTTAATGACATTTTGCATTCTTCATGTATGATGTTCTCGTTGTCATCCCACAATTCTTCTGGTCTTTGGTCATTAGCATCCAATGTACCAAATCTGTTTGTGAGAAGATCTCTAAATTAAAATGGGCTATGTTCAATGAAGGTCATATATTTGCTCTTGTGAACTTGTTTTAATTTGCTTCAGCTTTAGCTTGAACTTCCATATTAGCAGTTGATGGTTTGTTCCATAGTGTGACCTTGGCCTTGCTATGACTGAGGATATTGAGCTTTTCCACCATCTCTTCCTAAATATGTACTCAATTTGATTCCTGTGTGTATTCATTCCATCTGAGGTCCATGTGGATAGCGCCTTTTATGTTATTTAAAAAAGGTATTTGCAATGACGCTGATGACTCTAGATTCATGGAAAAAGATGGGTGGGGGGAAATAAAGGAAAAAGAAAGAAAGAAAAAAGATATTTGCAATGAATAAGTCTCTGGTGAGGCAAAATTCTATCATGTGATCTCCAGCATCATTTCTATCACCAACACCATATTTTCCAACCACTGATACTTCTTTGTTTCCAACCTTTGCATTCCAATCACCAGTAATTATCCTTACCTTTTGATTACATGTGTGATCAATTTCAGGCTGAAGGAGTTAGTAGAATTCTTCAATTTCATCATCACCGACTTCAGTGGTTGGTGTGTAAATTTGAATAATAGATATATTAACTGGTCTTCTTTGTAGGCATATGGATATTATCTTATCAGACAGCGCTGTACTTCAAGATAGATCTTGAAATGTTCCTTTTAATGAAGAAAGCCCATCGTATACTCAGCTTTATTTTCAATTTGAAGGAAACTCATATATGTTTTTTTCTAGTTGTTTCTTTTTTAAATGAAAACAAGTTTCTTCTAAGCTATTGGTCTATCGTGGCTAGAAGGGAGCAGTGAAATAGGTGTGGGGTAACCTAGCTAGATGACTTAACCAGGCTGTACTTCAAATGATGGCGTTCCCTTTAATAGCCCCCCCACCCCACCCCGGGCCAAGGTGTTTTGTTTGTTTGCTTGTTTTTTCCTTTTATATAATAGGGCAGTGGGTACCACTCTTAAGAGATGATCTGTTCCTAATGGACTGGTTTCCGCTACCTAAACTCAAACAGTGACCATATGTTTAAATCAGATTATTTGTAATGTAGATTATATAACTCTTATGGGCCAGAATATTATGGCATGACCAGTGTAGAAAATTACATACAAAACTACTTTTTAATGAACGTGGATTATACTCTACCATTTTGGTCCACTTGTTTTCTAGCCAAAGGGGCTTGAGTTTATGAAAAGTAAAACAGTTATTTTCACTTTTGTTGGGTACTGTGTGACATTCCATCTTTAAACTCAAATACAGTATAATTACTTTTGTCATTTGGTTATGATCACATTTCACCTTAGGAGGTTACGCCCAAGTCACCATGATTAAGTCTTGTATTCCTAAATTTGTGTCCAACATGGACAGGCACATTGCTTTCATTATTTCTGTTCTGCAAATCCCAAGTATGACTTCATTTTCATTCTCAAAGGATGACCTAACCCCACTCTTTTGACTTACCTCACAGTCGTTCCACTGCAGCATTCATAATCTGTTGGTAGCATTTACTACCTAGTTCTGACATAAGGTCTCTGTTGATACCAGTATTTTGTGGTGGTGGTTGTTGTTACAGACATCCAAGAAGAAGAGGATGAAGGCTTGGGAGTTGATCTCTCTTTCATTGGTTCTCATGCTTTTGCTCGAATGGAAGGGGATATTGATAAGCAAAGAAGATTAATCCTTCAGGGACAGTTATCAGAGGCAGCCCTACAGAAGCAGCATCAAAGAAAGTAAGGCAAACGCTTTTGGACTTATACACAGAATCGTGAGAAACAAAAAAAGGGTCCTTATATCTGCTAAATGCATCTCCATATATACATATGTATTCTAATTTTTGCTTCATGACAATTTAGTGAGAAAGATACTATCCCCATCTGGTAGATACAGAAACTCAAAGTTCAGTCATTTATCAGTAGTCACAGTCAATATGTGTTGAAGGCAATATTCAGATGCATGTCTGGTGTCACAATTCCTACTCTGTCTACCATATTGTAGTGCTTCTGTGTGAGGATTTTAGTCTAAAAATAGGAATTGGGCACAGAAAGGAGAAAGGGAAAAGCAGCATTGCAAAGTTTTGACTTGACTGTCTTTATACTTAAAGTATTATCTGCAGTTATATTACATTTAAAGGAGCTTTATTTCTCCCTCAGTGTATCCCAAAAATCTTAGAACTCATCTGGTCCATACCACTTCTTCAAAGTGTTTTCTAATACAGGAAACAGCCTCTATACTTCTCTGGGTAAGCTTTTCCATGACTTAAGTATTCATGCTTTTTAAAGGAAAGCAACGACGACAAAAGAAAAACTACAAATGGCTAATAATATGTAGGGCTTGTTGAGAAAGTAACAGGGTTGTGATGGACTCAGCACCTGGTACTTGGAAACTCTTAAAGTGGGTCACTGCTTTTCTTTGTGTTATGTGCCTTCAAATCCTGACCAGCTTTGCCTCTGAGTTTTAGAACATGCCTTTTTATATTTTTTTCCACCTAAAATGTGTTCATCGTTCAATTTTTTTCCCATCCAAGTTTTAGCTCAGAAACAATTCACCTGTGGTAATTTATCTCCCAAGTCTACAATAGTGTCTCCTCCCATCTGCATCTTTAATGCCTATACGTGCCTTAAGTGTAGCATAACATTGATCACCCTGCACTGTAGTAGCATCTTGAGTGTTGTCAGTCTCCAGCTGTAAAGCAGGAATTGAGCTACGTGATCTCCAGAGTCCCTTGTTGTTTTGTTGTTAAGTACCATGGAGTTGGTTCCAACTCATAGATCTCCAGAGTCCCTTGTTGTTTTTGTTGTTAAGTACCATGGAGTTGGTTCCAACTCATAGCGACCCTGCACAGGGTTTCCGAGGCTGTATATCTTTACGGGAGCAGAATGCCTCATCTTTCTCCCGCGGAACAGCTGATAGTTTTGAACTGCCAACCTTCAGGTTAGCAGCCCAGTTCATAACCACTACGCTACCAGAGCTCCTTTACAGGGTTCAAATTCTGTTCCTGAGTCCATGGTCTTGTCTTCTCTTTATTCTGGTTTTATTTTTATAAATTAAAGCAAATTAACCACTAGAGGGCACCAGTGAATAGCTTTTCTAAAATTTACTGTCCCAGATGGTCTCAGTGATTTCTAAACATGTCCATGTGCAAGAGTCAGCTGGAATTTTTTTTTTTTTTTTAATATATTGCCTGGTGTCCCCATAACTGGGGTGGGACCTTGGACTCTGGACTCTGTATATATTTGATTTTTCTTTCTTGTCATATCCACATGCTCCTAGATTTTGGTACCTCTTGTGATCTAGACAGTGGTGCTTTGCAATCTTAGAAATTGAGGGCCCCTAAGAGACTTTGTTTACTTGAGTTATGTCTATCAGTACTTTACATTTTAGAATTTTTGTTGATATCAATACTGATAACCCATTACGTTTTATTAAAAATAACTTTAAAAATTTAATGAGAAGAATGGCACAGTTTTACATTTTTTCAAATGTTGCAAGTCTTTTAATGCTGGCTTAATAGAAGACAGCTGGGTTCTCATATTGGCATTCAGTCTTTTGCAATAAGTGATTTTGATTGGAATATATAAAGAAAATCTGGCTTCAGATATAAATAATTAGGGATGTTCCTCTTTGATACTACATCAGAACTTGATAAATGGTAGTTTCTTAAAGTTCAAGTGTAGTGTAGAATCTAAAACCAGACCCATGGATTTTTGTAGTCATATTAAAGTCTACTGATCTGATCTGTACTTTAAATGGATCTTTTAACCTTAAATAATGTTATAACATGATGTAGTTTTCTTTTTGAAATTCTGGTTCACTGAATTATTCAGACCCTCCACATACTAACACAAGTCAGTACACAGTATCCCAAAATGACACTAGTTAATATTACAACCAGTCTCCTCAAAGAAGCCTTTTAAGTATGAGGAATTTTCAAACTTTAAAAGTTCAACTTTAATCTTAAAAAATTAATAATGTTGGTGCTTTTACACCATCACTGTGGCTATCAACATAGTGAAAAAGGCAAATAATATCTTAGTATTATTATGAAAATAGTTTTGACCTTGCAGACCTCATGGTAACTGTTCAGGGGTCTGCAGGTCACACTTCGAGAATGACTGGTCTGTGGTCTATCACAGTACTGTATAATAATGAAAGTAATTTTGGTGATCATCCAGTATAGTTTTTTAAAGTACAGTGCATAATCCGTGATCATTAGGGTACTTGTTAAACATCTGTGGAACCCACACCAAACATTGACTCAGAACTTCTTTGTGAAGGGCTTAGGCATCTTCTTTCTAAAGTTTCTTAGATGATTCTTTTGTGCCTGAAATCACTCGTTTGACTCCTCTACTTCACAGATGGGTAAATTGATCCCAGAGAGTGTTTTGCCCAGATTTACAGCTAACTTTGGAAGAGCCTTCAGAGTGACATTTGCGGCATTTCTTTCCTTTCACCACCATCTTCAATTCAATTACACAGACAACTTCAGAGAAGTCTGGAAAAATTGACAGATTTATTTGTATTTACATACAAAGAATGGATTGTTGTCAGATTTTTCAAACTAGTCACCCACTCTCTTCCCTTCCCTTCCTTTCTCTTCCTGTTTACTGTCCCCCGCCTCCTTTCTATCTCCCTCTCACTCTTTTTCACATAGATACTCACATACATTTCTCTCATCTCCATTAATAGTACAGTTTACCTAGATTTTGTAAAGTTGTCTTTGGCTGGATGTATATCTCTCCCCCCTTTTAAAATGATGATATTTGTTTCATTTAATAACATATTATAATAATAATTTTTAAAGTGTTAAAGAGCAAAGATGTCAGCTTGAGGACTAAGGTGCACCTGACCCAAGCCATGGTATTTTCAATAACCTCATATGCATGCGAAAGCTGGACAGTGAATAAGGAAGATCGTAGAAGAATTGATGCTTTTGAGTTGTGGTGTTGGAGGAGAATATTGAAAGTGCCATGGGCTGCCAAAAGAACCAATAGATCTGTGTTGGAAGAAGTACAACCAGAGTGCTCCTTGGAGGCCAAGATGACCAAGCTTCGTCTCTCATACTTGCGACATATTGTCAGGAAGGACCAGTTACTGGAGAAGGATATGATGTTTGGTAAGGTGGAGGGTCAGAGAAAAAGAGGGAGACCCCAAAAAGATGGATTGGCCAAGTGGCAGCATCAGTGGGCTCAAGCGTGGCAACAGTAGTGAGGTTGGCCCAGGATCGGGCAGTGTTTCGTTCTCTATGAGTCGGTACTGACTCAATGGCACCTAACAGCAACAACAACAATAACTAGCTCAAGCCAGTATTCAAATGAGTCTGTATTCGCTGAGTCCATGCTTGTTGGTAAGGAGCCAAACCAAAGGACTAGGTCTTAGGAGGGCATGCGAACATTGCTTGTAAAGGAGTGTCTTTGTATTCATGGAGGGCCTTGATCTTGAGATTTAAATTCGTTACCCATATGACTGTGTGTGTTTAGTTCAGGATCATATTCTAGGTACTGAAGTGTATAAATAAGGTCGTTCCTGTCTTCAGGCAACTCATTATTGAGCCACACTATCCTCAGATGTCAGGGGTACTGCATGTCGAGGCAGGTGTTCAGCAGACCATACACAGTTATAGAAACCTGGGCCAGGGACCATAGGGCCTGGCCCCTCTGCTACTCAGCTCCTTTGAATGACAAGGGAAAAAAAAATCACAATGTTTTTTGATTTACCATTTATCTGCTCAAAGTATTACAAAATATTTCAGAGTGATAGAGGTTTTCATTAATGTGTGCCAGAGCACCAAATACTCTTCAAGGGGTCTGTGAGGTAAAAACTCTTTCTCATTATTACTAAGACTTACTTGCCGTTTTCATTCTCATTCTCTCCTGCTGTTCATTGGAGTTTTCCAGAGGCTACCTGACACTTGAAATTGCAATAGATTAAAGTCAGAACCAGATACGAGAATGCCACAGAAATTAAAGGGATTTGGCAGCTCTTCCCTCAGGTTTTTCATTTAAAAAAAGAAAACTTATTATGGTTCACAAAATAGTGTTTTTAGTTGCTTTTAATTAATAAATATTTTTAGTTTCTCGGTTTTCATTTCTTCAGTAATTGTAAATATAATTTAAAAACTGAGAAATTAAAATTTTTTTTATATATTCTATCAAAAATACAGTAAATGTTGATAATTGATGTAAATGAAAGCTCTTTAATAATTTTTTAAAAAGTAAGGTCTTAAAAAAAAAAAGTAAGGTCTTGATACCAGAAAGTTTGCATATAGGTGACTGATTGTTTATTACTTTATACGGTAAATTGAGCTATAAGTCAAGTATTTCTGTACTGTGCCATGTGCTAAATGTTGGAGATTGCAGGTATAGGTTTGGGGATGTATTTTTCTAACTCTTTCTAGAGAGGAGCCATCTTGACACAATGATTAAGCACTAATCTGCTAACCAAAGGTCTGCAGTTCACACCCACCAGTACAGGAGAAAAGACCTGGCAAACTGCTGTCATGAAGATTGTTGTTGTTGTTATTGTTAAGTGCCATCAAATTGGTTCCAACTCAGTGACACTGTATAGGGTTTCTGAAGCTGTAAATCTTTACGGGAGCAGAAAGCCTCATCTAGTGGGTGTTAGCCGCTAGCCTTGTTAACAGTGCAGTGCGCATCCTACAGTGATAACAGGGCTCCTCCCCTTAAAGATGGCGCCCTAGGAAACACTATGGGGCAGTTCTGGTCTACTCTGTAGAGTCATACTGAGTCGTAATCTACTCACAACACACAACTCTTTCTAAATCAAACTTTTGTTCACATATTGAGTTTGGTTTCTATTGATTGTATTAATCAAACTGAGCAAATGATAGTATTGTTTTAAATCTTTGGGCTAGTCATCTTTAGTTAGAATTATCTTCTTTTCAAGGCTTCAATTCTTCCAACAATAACAAAACTAAAGATCCAAATCAATTGACAGTAGGGTGCTATCATTGCCACATCAGTTTTGTGTTTTAAGTACCATTGAGACAGTTCAACTTATACCAACCCTGTGTAGGGTTTCCAAGGCCGTAAATCTTTATGGTAGCAGAAAACCCTATCATTTTCCTGTAGAGCAGCTGGTGAACTCGAACCACAGAATTTGTGGTTTCCTAGTCCAGTGTTTATCCTACAGAGCCACTGTGCTTACACCACTTCAGTAATAGTAATTATTTTACAGTTGCATTTGTTTCTTACCATTAAGATTTTTTTGTTTGGTTTAATATCCAACTGTGACTTAAATTATTTGTCATAGCAGAAACTTTATTCATTATTAAATATTGATGGTGGTTCAAACTCACCAGCTGCTACTTGGAAATCTTATATAGGGTTGCTACAGATTCTATGGCGCTTCACAAGATACTAAATATTGTGCTAGAAACTGGTGGTAGATTGACAAGCAAGACAGATACAGTACACCCTGTGCCCTCATGGAGCTTAATGTTTTGCAGAGGAGAAAAATGTAAAGCTAGTTATTAAAAGCTGGCGCTATGGATTAATGTACCAGACTCCAAAGTCACTTTGAACCATAAGGTAGGCAGTTCAAACTCACTAGTTGCTCCTTGGAAACCCCATACAGGGTCACTATGGGTCGGAACCAACTTGACGGCACTTCACAATAACAACAAGAATGTATGCATTATATAAAGTAATCAAAATGAGTGAGCAACATTGACCCCGAACAATATAGGTGAATTTTAGCAGTTTCAGGTGAAAAAACATGAGGCTGTAAAAATTATATATAGTATAATAGACTCTGATAGTTAAAAACCAAAAAATGCTTTTTAAATTATAGAGAGAAATTAAAATGATGTGGGAAAAAAAAAAGAATAGCAAGGAAATGATCCTGGAATTATGACGGCGAAGGAGAGGCTGCGTAAAGGTTAGAATGGGAGAGGGTGGTGTAGGGGAGTTATTGTGATGTATTAACTGCTTTTGGTTGGTAGGTTTGGGGGTACTTATTTCTTCATTAAAAATAACTAGATAAAGCAATGATTTAAGTGTTCTGTGCATGTACTAGTGATGAGTCTCTTGAGCTATGATTCATTCTATTTTGTATACCTACCTGCATTCCAGCTTAAGCATTTTTCTTCAGAATTCATTCAGCACATAGTTATGGAATGTCAGAACTCGTTGAAAATCCAGAAGCCAAAGTAGGGCATGCTCCTGTCTTGTGGTCTAATGGGACAGCAGCAGACATTACCATAAGTAGGTAAAGCCTGGTAATGGCCATGCTAGAAGTCTGTAGTGCCCAAAGAAGGGGATCTGCCTCTATAGCCTCCCCTCCCCTCTCCTTTCTAGGCCCTTCCCAGCATACATATTTGATGATAGAGTACTTGGACTTCTGTCTGGTTGCTTATTTCTTTCTGTTTTATTATACAGTGAGTTTTCTTTAATGTCTGTTTCATATATGCACCTTTAAGTTCTTTGAAGCCAAGGGACCTTTTGTTTTTCCTCTCAAGATCCCAAAATACCTTTGTATAATACTCATTTATGGTTATTAGTCTGTTCAACAAAGGTTTGAGGCCCCACTATGATTCAGGCATTGCAGTGATTCAATACACCTTTGAAAAATAGTCTAATGAATATATAAATAGAGTATGGAAATTAACAAGTATTTTCTGAATATATGCATTGTGTTAACACTTGTGCTACTTGAAAGACAACTAGGAAATGTTATTTTGTGTAGTGTTGTTGGGGAGATGTTTTAGAAAACAGTACAATTAAGGATTTACTTAGGAAATGACTGTGAAAATAAGGGATCGTATGTATGAATTTGGGAGAACTGCAGTAAGTCTTTTCTTGGCTTTCAAATATATATTTTAAGGCAAAGTTAAAAGTTACTTGGTGTTTTTTTTACAGTTGCATCAGTGGACAAGCTATCAAATTTAAGAAGACCATCTATAGAACCAATGCAACAAATCATGTGTTTGCTTTTTGTTGTTTGTTTCACAATGAAATGAAAAGTTCTGTGAAGCTGGCAGACCAATCACATCACTTGTTGTTTACGGCCATATGTGACAGACTTTCCATTGAATATCGTTAATTATCTGACTGCACTTTATAGCTAAAAGGCATCTACACAAACACCATTTTGTAGATTAGAAAACTGAGGCCAATAGAGGTAAAACAACTTTTCCTAGGTCAAATACAGTCTCTCCCTCTCCCAGTTTTAATATTTTTGGGGCATAGGCTATTGCCCTTCATGACCTAGGTACTTCAGAGTTGTTTTTTTTAATAGATATGACTAAAACTTTTTTCACAGTATAGTGTATGGCACTGTGAATTTTAGGAAAGTAATATATAGTATAAAGCATACTAAGCTCTTCAGAAATCTGGAGATATCAGTACCACTTTAACGTCAGCCTTTAACATTAATCAACTGGATTATTTTTTGTAAGTCATTTACCTTCTTTGAGATCTTTAGCATCTATTCCAGTTTTTAACATCCTCTTAGCCAAAGCTGAACTGTGATCATCTCATCTCATGGGATATTCAGTACATCTAGTTTGATTAATGAGCCATTAAATATGCCTCAACTTCTGAAATAAAATGACCTGACTCCTTTGGGACACAATTGGCATGTGCAGCACATACTTTTCGATTGAAAAATATGCTTCCTTTAAGCTCGTGACCATATATGAATGTATTTGCTACAGTGTTGTCAATACCTATCATATATTAAGCACTCAGTGACTTTTTGTGGAATGAGTGAACATCTGTTTTACATACTTGCTATTTCCATAGTCCAATTGCATTTTTTAGTAAAGAGGAATAATAGTGTTTAATACATATGTTAATATGAATACTAGCTATCTTAGCCATTTATCGTTGTAGTCTTCATTTGACCATAGAGGATTTTTTTTTTTTATAATCATGCGGCAGGAATGCCTTCTTTTCTCACTAACTAATTTAAGTACCGTCGAGTCAGTTCCCACTCATATCGACCCCGTGTAGTGTTTCCAAGGACCAGCTGATGGGTTAGAACCACCAACCTTGAGGCCAGCAGTCCAGTGTTTATCCTATAGTGCCGTGCCAGGAGTCCTAACACATAATTGACTACAATATGATAGCCTCTTGCTCCTCTCTCATATGCAGAAAACACCATTTGTCTTAGGTGCAGGGAAAGAGCTGAAAAACAGGTCCCATGTAAATTTGATTTACAGGTGTTTATTATAATAACCTATATCCTTTATTTCTTTAGTTATAATCGCTGGTTATGTCAAGCAAGATCTGAGGATCTGTCTGATATTGCTTCTCTCAAAGCCTTATACCAAACAGGTGAGCTTAAGGATGGGTAACTGATTGTTTCACTAATTTAGGACCCTAGCCACCTTGACATTTCATTTTTCTCTGATTTCTTACAGTCTGATCTATGAATAAAATGTGGTGTTTTTTAAATTAATGTAGTTAGGTTTTACCCGTCATCAAATATTAAAAATAACATCACAGCCTGAAAAATTTTAAACAAAGTCTTAGTTATCTAGTTCTGCTGTACTAGAAATACCACAAGTGGGTGGTTTTAACAAACAAATTTATTTTCTCAAGTTTGTTGTTGCTGTCAAATGCCATTGAATCAATTCTGACTCACAGTGACCCTATATAGGGTTTCCAAGGAGTGACTGGTGGGTTTGAACTGCCAACCTTGGGGTTAGCAGTGCAGTGTTTATCCCACAGTGCCACACCAGGTTTAAAAGGTTAGATATTTGAATTCAAGTTGTAAGCTCTAGAGCAGGAATGGGGAACCTTTTTCTGCCAAGGGCTATTTGGATATTTATAATATTCATGGGCCACGCAAAATTATCAACTTAAAAATTAGCCTGCTATGTTTGGATGGCTGGAACTGCGATTGCCTTCGCAGGGCCAGACCAAATGATTCGACTGGCCTTCCATGGCTCACTGGCAGGATGTTCCCCACCCTTGCTTTCTCTCTGTTGGTTCTGGAGGAAGGTCCTTGTTCCTGTGAGCTTCTATTCTTGGGCAGTCTTCATGTGGTATGGCATCGCTCTTCCCCCACCTTGGCTTCTCTTGCTTGCTTGTCTAATCTCTTTTATGTCTCAAAGGAGATTGACTCAAGGCACACTCTATACTCCTCCCATCTCATTATCATAACAAATCCCAAATGGGATGATAAACACAAGCATACAAGGTAGGATTTAGGACACATCTCTTTGGACATAGTTCAGTCCATAAAGTAGCACACTTTGGCTCTCCAAAAATTTATGTCCTTGCCACAGGCAAAACATATTCACCCCATCACAACCTCCCAAAAGTGTTAGGCAATTCCAAGCCTAAAATCCCATCTTCTAAAGTATCTAAATCAAATATAAGTGAGTCTTAGTCAAGAGACCTAGTTTGGCGCTGTGGACTAATGCATCAGACTTCAAAGTCATTTGAACTGCAAGGTTAGTGGTTCAAGCTCACCAGCTGCTCCTTGGAAACCGTATGCAGGGTTTCTGTGGGTTGGAATTAACTCAACGACACTTAAAAACAACAACAACAGCCATATTCCATCCTGGGGTAGAATTCTTCTTCATCTGTGAACATGTGTAATCTAGACTATAAATTATCTGTTTCCAAAGTACAACAGTGGAACCAGGGACAAGGTAGGTATTTCTATTACAAATGGAAGAAATTGGAGGTTGAGAGAGGATAACAGGCACCAAGCAAGTTCAAAACCCAACAGAACAAATTACATTAGCTCTCAATACTTGGAAATAGCCCTCTGTTTTCTAAAATAATCTAGGCAATGGCCCTGTCCTACAGAATCTGGGTGTTGACCAGGCACTTTAGATTCTGGGTGGAGACCCCTTGGCCCTGGATTTCATCTCGACCTTCCAAGCCCTCTGGGGATGATAATTTGGCTTTAAATAGCGCCATTCTCTTAGTCCGTCTTGGTCGTGACTATATCCCCCTTGGCCCTGGCAGGCCCCATTCTGCCCCTTGGGCACAGCAGCCCAACCGCCTCAGCTCTGGGTGTCAACCACATTCCCCTAGCATACTTTAATGGCAACCCCATAATCCCAAACCCACGCTGGTGAAGATCTAACTCTGAAAACTAGGAGGTTGTGGCCCCACCCTTAAAATCAAGAAGGCCCTGCTTCCTTCCAAGTTGTTGTTGTTAAGTGCCATCAAGTCAGTTCCGACTCATAATAACCTTGGATAGGATTTCCGAGGAGTAGCTGGTGAGTTACAACTGTCAATCCTGCAGTTCAAACTGACGTTATGATCTAAGGCTTATCCTACGTCACACCAGGACTTCAAGAGTTCTGCTGATCTGTAAGCTGCTCCAGAAGATGGGGGAAGAGAGACACCCAGCCCCATGAAGATCAGCCAGGAATAGCAGCTCGGAGACAATGTCCTGTTCTTTTCTTGAAGGACAGCCGTCTGGTTCTTGCCTATACAGTTCTAAGTGGCAGAAAACCTTCTGTTCTTTCTCTGCCCCTTTCAGTCTAAACCGATGGGTTTTCTGCTGCTGTGGAAGTTGGGAGATGTAGATCTATCAACCACAGGCTTAACAAAAGATGATTTAGCCAAATTCTTGGTGACTAATTCTAGGACACATGTCCTTAGTTTGTACAACAAAATTTTTCAAATCTTTCTAAGTTCTGTTTTTATTTTGGAGAATTCATTTTTAAGTCCATCTGTTTCCTGTCACATTTTGCCATACAAGGAGAAACTGTATAGTCCCATTAAGAATTTTCATCAGCTAGGTATGCAGGTTCATCACTTATGAGTTCTACCATCCACCAAACAAGTTCATTGCCACTGCATAGGAAGCATCACCCTTCCTTCATTGTCCAGTCACATGTTCATCATTTTCTTTGAACACCTCACCAGAAGCACATTTAGCAGCAACATTTTCTTTCTGGCAACCTATGAATTCTCTAAGGTGACAGAGACAATCTGTGTATAGTTCTCTTCACTTCCTCCTGAGACCTCACCAAAATTGCCTTTGATGAGCATACTTCTGCCCGCTGTGTCTTCAAGGCAATCTACTGATACACTTCCTAATTTCAAAACCACTTCCACATTTTAGGTATTTGTTAGAGTGCCACCCTCACTTCTCAATACCAAATTCTGTCTAAATTATCTAGGGCTGCTGTCACAGAAGTTTATTTTCTCCAAATTTAGGAAGCTAGAAGTCCACATTCAACTTGTGGCCTCTAGGGAAAGGCTTTCCTCTGCTGGCTCTGGAGGAAGATCATTGTCTCTGAGCTGCTGCTGCTGGTGATCTTGTGGCTTGGCATCTCTCTTCCCCCATCTCTGCTTCTCTTACTTGTTTGTCTTGTCTTTTATTGCTCATAAGTGAGCCACTTAAAATAAAATCTACACTGATTCTGCCTCCTTCACATAACAAAGACAACCCATTCCCAAATGGGGTTATAACTACAGGCATTAAAAGCAAAAACAAAAAAAAAAAACACCATTCCAAGGCTATTGAATAGATTCTAACTCGCAGTGACCCTGGTGGCACAGTGAATTAAGCACTGTGCTGCTGACCACATGGTGAATGGTTCAAACTCAGCAGCCACTCCTCCGGAGAAAGATGAGGCTGTTTCTGTTTCCATAAGGATTTATAGTCTCAGAAATCCTGAAGAGCAGTTCTGCTGTGTCCTGTCTAGGGTCGCTCTGAGTCAGATGAACATAGATATGTTGTTGTTGTTAAATGAGGTTAGGATTTACAGCACACATTTTTAGGGGACACAGTTGAATTCATAACAAACATGTGGTTTCCATCTAGTTCCATTTTTTCTTTAAAAAAAAAATAATAAAAATTTTACTGTTTGCTTTTAAATATACTTTTTTGCTTGTTATACAAAATTCAAGCCTTATGTAAATACGTAATATAGAAATTGAAAGCTCCCAGCTTCCCATTCTTCTCTAATTAGCTTTCATTTTCAGACAGTGCTTGTTAATTTTTCAGAACTCAGTGTTATTTAGGTTGGTTGTTTTATTTTTACTTTTGATCACTAATACTATTACAAGTTGTAGTGAATTTAGATAAAAAGCTACATTAAAAGACTTTTGCCTACAACCTTTCCTTTGGCTGTCCCTGCTTTTAAGCTTTTAAAAGATCTTTTCTCAAAGGTAAGAGCAGTGATCAAAAATCTCATAAGATTAGAAAAAGACAGTCTTGTTTCCCATGAAGTAGAAAAACTATTAGAAGATGAAATTTGATAAACTTATACTTCCAGGTTTTCAATTTTTTAAGTTTGTGTTGACTATTTCTATAAATTTGGAGCCCAGGACAAATGATCCTCTTGAAGTACAAATTCTGGGTGCTGATTACATTTCCTGTTTGTAGGTGTTGATAACTGTGGTCGCACTGTGATGGTGGTAGTTGGAAGAAACATTCCTGTAACATTAATAGATATGGACAAGGTAAGCCCGGAAAAGGCTCTGTTTCACAAACTGTTGATTTCAAAGTAAGTCGGACATGCATTTGAAATGCAGGCTTAGAATATGGGATGAGACAGAATTCTGTGTCTGTCAGAGTAGCAGCTCTGGCTTGGTGAGTCACCATGCATGCTATCAGTAAATCTGGAGTTTTAAGTTTGTGCTGTTGGAGGAACAAAAATCCTGAAATCTAATGTGATCCGCAGACTGGCACCTGCTTTGTTTCTCTTCTTATGTAACTGGAAAGTTAAACTTGAAATCCTTCTGTATTATAATCACATTGCCAACCAAATTTTGCATTTCTTAGAGAAAAAAAAAATTTCTTCAGTATCTGTCTAAAATGAAGAAACCAAGGATCTAGTTAAACCAAGGTAACAATTTTATAAACACCTCCGCTTTTTTGGACAAGAAGTAGAAATATAGATTTCACAAAAGACATTTTTGTAACTGGTAAATACAAACAGCATGGTCAACCTCAGTAGTTGTTAAGTGAATTAAGATGAGCCTTCTTATTTTACTGTCAGAATTAGCATGGATTTAAAAATAATTGTTATCATCAAAGGCAAGTTCGAAAATGATCATCATACTTGTTGACCCAGAAATTTCAATCTGGGAATTTGTAATTCAAAGTATGGATTATTTGTTAAGTATCGTCGTCAGTTCCAGCTCATAGCATCCCATCTAGGGTTTCCAAGAAGTGACTGCTGAGTTTGAACCGCTGACCTTTCAACTAGCAGTCCAGTGATTATCCTACAGCACCACATCAGGACTCCTGGAAGTTGATAGAGACCCTGAAAGTGCTCAAATTTGAATAATCCTGCAAGAGACACTTGAATCCACAGAGTGAATATATAAACTTTCCTAGAACATCAGCTCCCTAGAATTGCAAAGGAGAATGATTTCAACTGATAATTCTAAAGCATATCCAAATATTATAAACTTGAAACCTTAAAATCAAGTAATTTTAAGATACAAGCACAGTTATGCAGGCACAAGTAATTATTTTTGACTCAGCCCTCCAATTTTGGGTACTGATGCTTGGGTAAAAAATTTGTGACAGCACCCAGCCTGTCATGCTGTTCACAGGATATTTGTAGCAAAAATTATAACATATTCGTAAGAGATAATTATGATCCATTCACAAGTGGAATGTATGTTCTGTGGCCCTAAAAAAATGATGGTTATACTATCAATATCAAGTACATAGAAGTGTTCATAAAATAGTATCAATAGAGTGAAAATGATATATTAAATTGTATGTACACTGACCTAAATTACATTAAAAATTCTACAAAGTTCAAAATCAGGAAGTAAATATCCCAAAATGTATTTCATAGTTTAGAAGAGAATCTATTTTCTAAATATTTTGTTGCATAGCTGTACTGTTTTTATACTTAAAAATGAAAGCATTTTTAAGCTAAAGATAGGAAGTTTAAAACCACAAAGGGTTGGGTTGGGGAATGGGTAGAAAGAGACCAAGAAATTATGTAGTAAGAGAAGAATAAAAATACACAGTTAACAGAGGGAAAAACCAACAGATGCAAATTAGTTAAGTTTCTATTAGTGGTCATTTGCTTTGTGTTCTTAATAGCTGGTGTGACTTCCATTATCATCATTAGTAACATGGTTGATAACCAATAAACACATAAATCCCTGCATTTAATTTTGAGGTGGACTTGAAATGGTGTTCTCGATAGCCATGCTGTATTATTTCACATAAAATAATGAAGCATATTGTAAGGTCCAAACTGGTTAACAACTTGAAAGATAACTTTTCTTAATCCCCCTCCTCTGCCTGTTGTAGTAGCATTTGGATCCCAATCCACGTTAATCCATTCGTGTGAATGCCAAGGCCTCACCTGTGGAATTATAAAACGACCTCTATTATCGTCATCTTTCTGTTGTTACCTGTTAGTTTCCTCTTTGTAACGGCTTGTGGCTAAGTCACTAGGTCATACTGGCCCTGCCTCTATTGTATCTCTGCTTTGTTTTAGTGCTTCTTTTAAATGTCATCCTTCTTGTGGTGGAACATTTCTGTAACTGATTTGGGTCACATTAAGTTTCAGTCTTTCAGCGCTCTAGAAATGTTGCCCAACTTAATGCCTTCTACAGACTAAACCTGTTCTTAGTTTCCTCATTCAGATCATCATTAAAGATGCTAAGAAATTAAGCTGCAAAATGAGCCAAGTAAGACATCATCCATTGTCATTTTATAGTACTTCTCAGTTTCATGAAAGCTGTGAGACTGTATCTGAGTAGTAGAGACTGCAAAAGACGTTGAATTCAGATAGAAACTTCAAAGATGCTGAAAAGTCTAGAAATTCTGTTTTCAGTGATTTTGATATCATTGTCCTAGAGAGGAGTAGTCTAATATAATTGACTCAAGAATTCTTTCCTATATATGCTGATTTGTTTCAGAGGATAGAGCCTGATCTTCTCCAACACTTAGAAAAGACAAATAGGGATTGTACTATACTAGTTATGAGAGTTAGTAAACACTGGGATGGTTCACTTTTTAAAGAGAATTATTAAGCTTTCTTGACTCTGTGAAACAGACTCCCAGGCAAAATGGTCTTTACTGAGGATATCCGTACATGTGTGTTTACCTTTGTGCAAACACACCTATAAATGTGGCAGAGCATACAACACACACAATGATGAAAATTTCTTAGATGTTCTTAAACATATTGGGGCAATGAGTTCCTGCACCTGGTGACTCAGGACCATAGTCCTGGGACACCATGGTCAGTTGGCATACCATAGTCCACAAAGACAATGTTCTACATCCTACTTTGGTGAGTTGTGACTGGAATCTTAAAAGCTCGTGAGCGGCCATCTGAGGTGCAGCTATTGGTCTCTCCGTAAGTGATGGAAAGATGCTTGAAATCAGCTACTCCAATGGAGTAGGTGAACATCAGTCACCATGATGCAGGCCAGAAGAACTAGTGCAACTGCTACTTACTACCAACTGCTCTGGAAAGGGGTCACATTAGAGGGTCCTGATAGTGTGGCAGAAAAAGGCCACAATTACTGGTCAGAAAGAGACTGGAGAAACCCAAGACTATGGCCCTCAAGCACCTTTTGTGTCGGGAAAGGAATTCACCCTCATAGCCCAACTTTCAGCCAAGCAATAGATTGGTATATAGAGGGGGGAACAGCAACACTAATTTGATATACTCAGCATGGAATGGTCAGTCATTCAAAGTCAAAAGGGCAACATTTTCCCAAGGATAAGAAAGGGGGAATGGAAGTAGGAGCCACAGGGAGGAAGTAATTGTTGTTGCATGTAGGGAGTTGCAATCATTGAGATGAAATAAAGTGTATGGTTTGTTGAATGTAAAGCTGATGATCTTTTCTGTAAGTCTTTGCTCAAAAATGTGTTTTTAAATATGATCTTTATCTTTCCTTCTCTTTTTCTTTTAGGCACTCCTGTACTTTATCCATGTAATGGATCACATTGCTGTGAAAGACTATGTATTAGTCTATTTTCACACACTGACCAGCGAATACAATCATCTTGACTCTGATTTCCTCAAGAAACTCTACGATGTTGTTGATGTCAAGTTAGTTATTTTTTATAAATTATGAAGGAGGGCATTGTTTCTTTACTAATTCTAAGCCATAGCAAACCTTGTTATATAGAGTCTACTATAAAAGCATTTTTCATATAACAAAGATATATTTCATTGGCTCCAGTAACACTTGAGTTTTCAGGAGAGCTATTATCTAATTTGGAAAACAGGAGAATATTGACACTCCAATAGGCTAAGTATGTTGCCCAAAGTCACACAGCAGTCAATATACAGAATTTGGACTTGAACCCAGGCTACTGACTTGGAACTAGCAAATTTGATTTCATCGAACCATATTTCCTTTGAAATGATAATGGAGATTTTAACTGGAAAATCTGTGAAGGACACCTCACTACAGCAAAGATAAATGTAATGATTTGCATTCCTTCTCAAAATGTACTTCCTAAATAAAAATAGCCATCTGCCCTCCTGATACTTAGGAGTCCTCATGCCATAATGGGTTACGCATTGGGCTGCGAACCACACAATCAGTAGTTTGAGGCCACCAGCTGCTCCACAGGAGAAGGGTGAGGCTTTCTGCTCCCGTATGGATGCACAGCTTCAGAAATACCCTATACAAGGTCACTATGAGTTGGAAACAACTCCACGGTGCACCACCTCCTCGTACTAGCTTTTATTATTTATAGCAACAGAGTGCCTTCCTGTCTCTTGAAGTTTCTGCAAACTACTCATCTTTCTTAGGAATATTGAAGCTTTCAGTAGCTAATAGCTAACTTTTTTAAACTCTCTTGTATATTTAAAGAAGCTCATTCTGTCTCTATCACTAACCAGCTCTTTAACTATGAACAGACCTCATCGGTGAAAGAATGGGTTTGCACTGCTTCTCTGAAGTGTTCTTCAATTAGCCTTATATGACCCAATGGTGGTTACTGGTCTGGTGAAAAATTCCAGGTCCGTCATTAGTTTAAAGATTATCTAACCTGATATGGCACTGTAGGATAAGCACTGGACTTCAAACCACAAGGTCGGCATTTCAAACCTTCCAGCTGTTCCTTGGAAATCCTGTACAGGGTCACTATGTGTCAGAACCAATTCAACAGCAATTTAATATGCTGCTTTAGTGCTTAGCAGCTAACTAAATGTCAGCTGTTCAAACCCACCGGAGGCTTCTTGGGAGAAAACTCCTAGAGGTCTGCTTCCATGAAAATTTACAGCCTAGGAACCCTATGGGGCAGTTCACCTCTGTCCAGCAGGGGCTTTGTGAGTCAGAACACAATAACACCAGCATCCTGTTCCTTATGTTCCACCTGGAGAAGCTAGATGGAGTAGTACACAGAGCATGGCTTCTAGAACTGCGGGGTTCTGCATGACTCTGCTATTGGCTGGTCGGGTGACTTGGTTAAAAAATAATAATGGTAGTGCATCCCTCATTGAGTTGTTAGGAGAATTACATAGACAGCTTAAAGTATAAAGTGCTAAGTAGTGGTTCCTATCATTTTTTACTAATTCATATATTTAATCCCATAGATTCTAGCATCACATGGGATAAAAAGGCACACAATAAATGCTAGTTAAATGTGAACTTAGTTTTGGAGTTGTTTTTTGAAATTTTACCTAAAATTCAATATATAAACTAGAACTGTTATGTTCCTCATTTGTTGGTTGGTTTTTGTTTTTGAATTTCCTACGTGAATGCATTTATATACTCAAGCAAAGAGTTAATTGTACATAACGGTGACTGGTTTTAGCTGTGACTTATATGGAGCCTTGTTTTGTTTGTTTGTTTGTTTGTCCTTTGATCAGATACAAAAGGAACTTGAAGGCTGTGTATTTTGTCCATCCAACATTTCGTTCAAAGGTACATTATTTTTCTCTTTTTTGCTAACTCTAGAGTTTAAGCACTATTCATGCCCTGAATATTAAGATACATCTCAACACCCTAATTGTTGCTGTCATCTTTGTGACTGCTATTTTGTTGGCCTTTTTAAAAAATGACCCTGTCCTAGTACTTTGGCCCTCTGTGTCTCTAGCATCTTTGTGGACAACACTTATAAGCCAGTGGCTTCTCAGTGTTTACCTCTTCCTGCTCTTTGTTCATTTGGCCTCGACAGCTCATGCTGTCTTACGGAATACATGTTCTGTCCACTGCTCAGGGCTGACTGCTGCTGGTCCGTCAGATCTGTCAACTCTCAGCTCAGCATTTATTTTCTATAGAAAATTTACCCTGGTTTTTCTGTGAAATGTCTCTTAGGATTCTGCGTTCTTCCAACGTAAGAGTTTTTTCATTGTGACTGCTTGCTTAATGGTATGCCTTATTTGAGTGGGCTTCCGAAAGTACATGGAGAGATCCCATTATCTTTTAATTCCATTTTCCATGAATTTTTGAAGCCCCTTCGCATGCTACCCCACAAGATCTGTAAGGACTAAAATGTAGCTATCTTACAGAAATTGTTAATAGGTATCTGTGATTTATTCTGAAGTGTAGTAAAAAATAAAATTGATGTGTGGCTAGAAATGAATAATGAATGCATAAATAGATTTATGATAAAGTAAATATAAACAAAATGCTCATGTAGTCTGGGTGGTGACTATACTGATGTTCATTGTCGAATTAATTCAACTTTTAATGAATCTCTGAAATTTCCATAATAAAATATTCTTCATATAGAAAACAGTTTTTTCTTTACCACTCTCACAAATTCAATTATCGAAAAAGTTTCATTTTGTGCCAGACTTTTGTGAAAGTACATATCTACCGCTTGCTAGATCTGACATTAAACCTTCCTCTTGAATACTAGAAACCAAATGCATTGTTGTCTTGTCACTTCCACCTCATAGCAACCCTTTAGGACAGGGTTGGACTTCCACAGAGTTTCTAAGGCTGGAAGTGTTTATGGGAGTAGACTTCACATCGTTCTCCTGCAGAGCAGCTGTTATAATCTAGGGTTCAAACTACAAATGTTCTGGTTAGCAGCCAAGAGCTTTAACCACTGTGCCATCACAGTTTCCATACAAGAGAGGCGATAAATATCTGTCTTTCACGTGTTGACAATGAATAGACATCTTTAACCGTCACAGCACTGGAATTGCTTTGGATAAGAATCAGGACAAATGTTGGATTTGGGCAGAAGCTGAAGGAGACCAGATATATAAAGTGAAAGTCTTCGTATTACCTCCTCAAAACTGGGAAAATGAGAGAGTATTGAGAGAATTAAAGAAGCCTGGTGGTATAGTGGTTAAATGTTCAGCTGCTAATTGGAAGGTCAGCAGTTCAAACCCACCAGCTGCTCTGCTGGAGAAAGATGTGGCAGTCTGTTTTGGTAAAGATTAAAGCCTTGGAAACACTATGAAGCAAGTCTACTATACGCTAAAACCATCGCTATGAGTCAGAATTGACTTGACAACGGTGGGTAGGTTCATTGAGAGAATAAAATCAGTATATAATAAAGTCTCCACTATTATTTTATACCAAAGTTACAGATTATAAATGGAGTGTTTATTAAATAATGAGATGACATCAAGGCATCATCAAATAATCAAATCACACTGTTCTGATTTTCATACTCCTGAGATCTTTTCCAGACAAGTACAACCAAAGTGATAATAAAGTAACTGCGTCTGTAAATCCTATTCTTTTTCTTCCTTGAAGCTTACTAGTAGAATACAAACTAGTAGACTTTAACCCAATGTTAATTCTGGCTCTAGCAGATTACCTAAGTGCACATGTGGGAGTTGTCTTTTCATACTTTGTTATTTCATGATCTTGTGTTTTCAGCTTTGCATTTGTAAATAACTGGGTGAACGTATATCCAGCATTTACAAAATATCACAGCAGTCTTTTTCCAAAACTTTACTTTTCTTCATTTTTTTTTTTAAGTAGATGCTCAAATCTTTTTTTGAATAATACAAGTCTACCTACATTCATGAATATTTATAACTTATGCTATAAACAATTGAAGCTTTAAACACTTAGATATATAGAACTAAGCTCTCTGGGTGGGCCAAACACTTTTCTCTCCACTAATACCCTAAAGTTCTAACCCATCCAGCAGCACTGTAGAAGGCCAGTTGATCTGCTTCCTTATGGGGCTGGGGTGGAGGGCAGAGAGTGGGGGTTGTGTGCTGTTGAGTCACATACAAATCAGAGTGACCCTGTATATGCTTTTTGAGGTTGTAAACCTTTACAGGAGCAGAAGGCCTCATCTTTCCCTGCAGAGCTGCTAGTGGATTCAAACTGCTGACCTTCCACTTAGCAGCCCAACTTGTAACTCACCACACTACCAGGTCTCCTTTTTGTAAAGAATACAGCCAAGAGAACTCCTGGTAACATTTCTGCTCTGTAACACATGTGGGTGCTATAGGTCAGAATCAACTTACAGCTGAGAGTATCTAACTGCATAAAGCTAAAATGAAAAAGGAGTTCTGGTGTGGCTCTACAGGTTAAAGCACTGGACTGCAAAGTCAGTTTGAACTGCAAGGTTGGCAGTTGAAGCTCACCTTGGAAACCTTATACCGGGTGGCTGTGAGTCAGAGCCGACTTGATGGCACTTAACAACAACAATGGATATGCAGGAGAATAATGGGAGGAAAGGGAGCAGAGACTGAGCTTAAAGTCACTGCCCTCTTCCTCCACTCACCCTTCTCATGTCTCCATCTTAACACTACCCCCACCTGCATCTCAGTATGTTCTTTCATAGAATTGTGTGATTGAGGGGAACCTTAAAAACCTATTGGGGTCTAACTTACTCGGTTTTAAGATGTGTGTTTCAAAGTGGAATAAGCAGCGGCAGCTCCACATCTGCAGAAGATTCTCTTTGATTGACTTTGAGAAATAGATGCATGCCCAGTGTCAGCTAACAATATATATATATTTAAGTCTCAAATACTGGCAACAACAACAAAAAATGTCTTTTCAGTCTCATTTGAAAAAACGGGAAGATATTTTTGAGATTTGGGGATAGGAAGCATTTGTAGAGTGCCAGCGCGTCAATTAGTCTACCAAATAATGCTGTCATCTCCAAACTTCTTGACGACAACCCACAGTGAGAATCATATATTACATCACAACACATATAAGTAAAACAAAAGTTCCATCAAGCAAAACTCACTTGTACAACATTTTCTAATTATTATTCTAGTTTGTTCTCCTTTTTTAAATGTTGTTTATAGTCCACTAAACTGAATCTATAACTCACTAATGGACTGCAGTCTGTCGTTTCAAAAGCACTGACTATTGCAAGATTCTTCTGGCACCGATTTCAGTTGTGAAAAACAGTTTTTGTCTAATATGATTCTTCAAAATTGTGTGGTTCTGCCCACAGGTTTAAATGTTTTTTTTTTCTCTTCTGTCAATTAGGTGTCAACGTGGTTTTTCACCACCTTTTCTGTCTCAGGACTAAAGGACAAAATCCACCATGTGGACAGCCTCCACCAGCTCTTTTCTGCCATATCTCCAGAACAGATTGACTTTCCTCCTTTTGTCCTTGAATATGATGCCAGGGTAAGAAGGATCAGCAGTTTCCCCTCACCTGTTGTGTTACATAAACTATTCTTTTAAGGGCAGTGTTTGTGCTCACTACATCCTTTCATTATAAGATCCTGTAAATTTAAATCACTGTGTTGTAGGATACTTTATAATATCGTTTCATATCCTTTTCCTTCAATAACTAAGAAAGATTTTACCCAAAGAGAGGACTTATAGTCAAAGCATACATTCTTAGTGGGAGATTTTTTGAGCTGTGGTGTGCAGCCGGTCCTTGGTTGTATTGCCAGTTTTCTACCACCTTTGAGACAGCAACTTCTTCATGATATAGAGCCAGAAGAATCTGTTGTCTACTTGGCAGCATTAATTGTCTATCAGATAGCTTCTCTTAGTCTAAAAGTTTCCGTTTGCTAAAAGTATTATGGTTTGAGAGCTCCAAATAATAATACTAATGTAATATTGTTATTATTTATAGATGCATTTATAGGTTGATGACTTAAATGCTAATCAGCAGGTTACTTGAATTTCATCAGCATTATATTCCCTATTGTGTATACTCTCAGTAAAATCTTAATAATTAAAAAAAAAAGGGCAACATGCGTGGCCAAAAGTTCATCAAATTCATCATGTCACTAATGTTGATTAAACATTCTTATGAATGAATGAAAGGGACTTATTTGAAGGCTGTATTAAGTTTGAATAAATTCTTCTCTAATGAGTTGCTGTAAGGAGCTCTGTTAATGTAGTGGTTACAAGTTGGGCTGCTAATGTCAAGTTCAGAAGTTTGAAACCACCAGTGGTTCTGTGGGAGAAAGGTGAGGCTTTCTGCTCCCGTAAAGATTTACAGCCTCAGAAACCTTGTACAAGGTCGCTATGGGTCGGAACCAACTCCACAGCACATAACAACAACAACAATGACTAATAGAATTGAATGTTTGACAGTTACACATTTAGTATTTGTAATTGGAGCAGATGGATGAAAAGATTGTTGAATATGTGGGAGGGGAGTAAGAACATCAGTTTGTATTTACAACAGATTGTTAGAATTTTAAAAAAGCAATGACTTTTTTGTTATTCCTTTGAACCATACGTCGTTCTTCTTAATATATAATGGATTGCAGGAAATGTGAAAGGCACTAACAAACACTTTGATGCCAAAAATATTGAACGAGCATTCAACGATTGTTGTTGTTGTTGTTATTAAGTACCTTCTAGTCAGTTCCAACTAACAGTGACCCAGTGCACAACAGAAGGAAACACTGCCTGGTTCTGCACCAGCCTCACAATTGTTGTCATGTTTGAACTTGTTGTTGTCACTCTGTCAGTCCATTTTGTTCAGGGTCTTCCTCTTTTTCACCGACCCTCCACTTAACCCAGCATGATGTCCTTCTCCAGGGACTGGTCCTTCCTGATAATGTGTCTCAAGTGTAAGGGATAGAAGTCTCATCATCCTGACTTTAAGGAGCATTCTGGCTGTACTTCTTCCAACACAGATTGGATTTTATGGCAGCCTGTGGTGCTTTTGGAGTCCTGGTGTGGCCCTGTTGGCTAACTGCAAAATCATTTGAACTGCAAGGTTGGTGGTTCAAGCTCACCAGCTGTTCCTTGGAAACCCTGTACAGGGTTAATGTGGGTCGGAATTGACCCGATGGCACTTAACAATAACAACATGGTGCTTTTGGAGTCCTGTGGCACTGTAGGTTAATACACTGAACTGCAAAGTCTACTTAAACTATAAGGTTGGTGGTTCAAGTTCACCAGCTGCTCCTATGAAACCCTATATAGGGTTGCTATGGGTCAGAACCAACTCGAAGATACTTACCTACAAATGGTGCTTTTAATATTCTTCTCCAACACCATAACTCAACGTATTGTTTCTTCTACAGTCTGTCTTACTCACTATCCAACTCGCACATGCATATGAGGTGATTGAAAATACCCTGATTTGGGTTAGGCATGCCTTAGTCCTCAGAGTGATCTCTTTGCCCTTGAACACTTTAAAGAGGTCTTGTGCAGCGATTTGCCTAATTCAATATGTTGTTTGATTTTTCACTAACGCTTCTATGAGTTTTGGTTGTCGATCCAAGCAAAATGAAGTCTTATGACAACTTCAACCTTTTCTTCATTTATCATGATATTTATTGTATCTTTGTTTTCTTTACCATGAGGTGCAATCTATACTGAAATTAGTATTTTAAGTCTTTCATTTCCATCAAGCACGGTTGTTAATGAGTCCTCTCCCTCCAAACCTGATGCTACATTCTTCTTCATATAATTCAGCTTCTAGATGATTTGCTTCGCATACAGATTGACTAACAATGGTAAAAAGATAACAACACGAGCACGCATACCTCTTTTCTTATTTTAAACCATTCAGTATTCCCTTGTTCTGTTTGAATGACTGTCTCTTGCTTCTCATGAGCACAGATGAAGTGTTCTGGAATTCCCAATCTTTCTGATCTTCTCTGCTTTCAGCCAAGATCCATCTGACATCAGCAGTGATACTCCTTGTTCCACATCCTCTTCTGAATCCAGCTTGAATTTCGGAAATTCCCTGTCAATGTCCTGTTATAACCATGTTTGAATTGTCTTCTGCACATTTTTGCTGTGTGTGATTTTAATGATATTCTTCAATGATTTCCACATTCTGTTGTGTCGTGTCTCTTTGGAATGAGCACAAATCTGTATCTCTTCCAAATCATTGACCAGGTAGCTGTCTTCAAGTTTCTTGGCATAGATGAGTACATGCTTCCACTGCTGCCTCAGTTTGTTGAAAGATTTAAATTTGTATTCAGTCAATTCCTAGAGCCTTGGTTTGTGCCAGTCCCGTCAATGTAACTTGGACTGTTTCCTTCAGTACCATCAGTTCTTGATCATATGCTAACTCTTGAAATGATTGAACATAGACCGTTTCTTTTTGAAACAGTGACTCTGTATTCCTTCCATCATCTATTTTGATGCTTTCTGAGTTGTTCAATATATTGTCCATAAAAGCCTTCGATACTGCCAGTCAAGGCTTGAATTTTTCCTCTGTTCTTTCAGCTTGAGAAATGCTGAGCACATTCTTTGATTTTGGTTTCCTAACTCCAGGTCTTTGCACGTTTCATTATAATACTTGATTTTGTCTTTTCGAGCTTTCCTTTGTAATTTCCTTTTCAACTCATTTGCTTACTCATTTCTTCCATTCACTTTGGCTTCTCTATACCTGAGAACAAGTTTCAGAGTCTGTTCTAACATCCATTTTTGTGTTGTATTTCTTTACTGTCTTTTTAATGAGCTTTTGCTTCCCTTATGTATAATGTTCATGCTATCGTGCCACGATTCTTCTGGTCTTCAATCATGAGTGTCTAATACATCAAATCTGTTCTTGAGATGGTCTCTAAATTCAGGTGGAATATATCCAAGGTCATATTTGGCTTTTTTTTCTAGGCTTCAGCCTGAACTTACAATTAATATTCTGTTCCACAGTCTGCCCCTGAACTTGTTAGGCTGATGATATGGAGTTTTTCTACACTCTCTTCCCACAGATGTAGTCAGTTCGATTCCTATATATTCCATCTAGTGAGGGCCAGGTGTATCGTCGTCTTTTATGTTTTTTTAAAAGGTATTTGCAATGAATAAGTTGTTGGTCTTGCAAATTCTTCAGCATCATTTCTAAAGCCATATTTTCCAACTACTGATCCTTCCTCTTTGGTTCTGTCACATTTCAATCACCAGCAATTATTAGTGCATATTGATTGCATGTTTGATCAATTTCAGACTGAAGAAATTGGTAGAGTACTTCAGTTTTATCATCATTGGCTTTAAAAGTTGGTGTGTAAATTTTAATAATAGTGATATTAAGTGGTCTTCCTTGTAGGCATACGGGTACTATCCTATCACACACAGCATTGTACCGCAAGGTAGATCTTGAAAGGTTCTTTTTTACAATGAACGTGATGCCGTTCTTCTTCAATTTGTTGTTCTTAGCATAGTAAACCGTATGATTATCAGATTCAAAATAGTCAATACCAGTCCATGTCAGCTCACTGGTACCTAGGATATCAATCTTGGTACATTCCACTTCGTTTTTGACAACTTCTAATCTTTATAGATTCATACTTCATTCATTCAACATTTTGATTTCTAATGGATGTTTGAAGCTATGTCTTCTCATTTTGAGTTGTGCTCCAACAAATGAATGTCCTAAAAGCTTTGTTCTACTCATGTCTACTTTGAGAAGGCAGCTCTTCCCAAGTTGTATTTTGAGTCTCTTCAAACTGAAGAGCTCATTTCTGACACTATATCTGACAAGGTTCTGCTATTCATTAGGTTTTCAGTGGCTAACCATTCAGAAATGGTCTGCCTCTCCTTCTTCCTAGTCTTAGTCTGAAAGCTCCACCGAAACCTGCCCACCACGGGCAGCCTTACTGGTATTTAAAATACTGATGGCATCGCTTCCAGCATCACAACAACATACAAGCAAGCATAGTATGAGAAACTGACAGATGAATCTTAGAATTCAAAGATAGCGTTTGTATTTATAAATTATTTCCTAAAATAGTAATGCAAACATTGTATTGGTTACAAAACCCAAAAGGCTGCTTCTTAAGTCAGCATATTTTTCAATAACTTTAAGAGCCTATGTTGTTATTAAGTGCCGTGGAGTTGATTCCGACCCTAGCGACCCTGTATAGGGTTTCCGAGGAGCAGCTGGTGAGCTTAAACCACCAACCTTGCAGTTCAAATGGCTTTGCAGTCTGGTACATTAACCCACAGCACCACACCCGGACTCCTATATGTTGTTGTTGTTAAGTGCCGTCGAGTCGGTTTCGACCCATAGCGACCCTGAACAGGGTTTCCGAGGCTGTAAATCTTTATGGGAGCAGAAAGCCTCATCTCTCTCCCGTGGAGCAGCTGGTAGTTTCGAAATGCTGACCTTGCAGTTCGCAGCCTGATTCATAACCACTACGCTACCAGAGCTCCTTTTGGACTCCTAGGACTCCTATATAGCAGGCTTTAATTAAGTTAAATGTCAGCTATAACTTAGTTACAGTAAAAACTTCTTTTAGTTTTCTGTTGTATTTTTGTATGTCAAATATAGGCCTAATTGTTAATGTGGTTAGTTACATTAAACAAAATAACCCATAGTTATTATACAGAACACATGGTTCTTTATACCTGTACCAGAGTTTTTTATAGTGTGGCACTGTAAGATAAAGCACTGGACTGCAAGGTCAGTTTGAACTGCAAGGTCAGCATTTCAAATTCACCAGCCACTCCTGGGAAACCCTATACAGGGTCACAATGAGTTTGAACTAACTCAAGGGCACTTATCAGCAGCAACAAT